GGTCAATGATGTTTGGAATGGATGGACCGGTATTCCTGCATGTATTAACCAAAATAATATTATGGTCCAGTTTCTAATTCATCTACAATCACGTTATGTTTTCGCGCAGACGTCGCGCGTAAAATACATATGAATAAGGAAAAACACTCACCCTTTCTCCCCAATGAAAAACCGAAGCCCGAGCGATGTGAAGATGTATATGAAACTGGCTTACTTGCACGATTTTCATATTGAATACCGGCTAATCTGATTGAAATTTACATAATCAATATTATGGAAATCGCTCGTCACATTGTGTTCCCAAGCACTGGTCGTGCATCGCAATACAAAGATTTGTTCAAAACGTGGCAACCGTGACCTAAACTCAACGCCCCCTTGGCGTCTACGGAGCAATTTAAATATAAAAATTGTGTAAGATTTAACAGGTCGGAGTGTATATGGGAAAATATAACAATATTGTGCGTTTAAATATAAGAAACGTGGTGAACTTTAAATGCGGGGTAAACGCTTTGTTACAGACCCCGCAAACTTGCTATAGTGATAAAACAATAAATATGGCAATTAACAAGTTCTAAGCCAGATTGTATCAATTATTTCGGTATGTAAATTCCATCACGCTATTTGGCCTATTACTATATGTACTCTCTTCTAGTATTAATTTATCATCTTAATTGTACTTTGAAAATTGAAAATATATTCGTCTGGTCTTGTTATTACTTGGTCGCCATGGACAGCGATTTTCATTCAATTTTTTGATGTCTCAACTTATGTAGCGCCGAGAACACATGCTCTTCCTATCCAGAAGAAGGCGGTCATCTGGGGCCGGTTGTTCGTACGGCGTTTATCTTAAACGGTAGATAAGCCAAAATTTTCTTGTGAATGAATGAACCTGCATCTTAAGTATTTACATCGAAATATTTCGGCTCAGTTGTTCAATAAATAAATAATTTTGTTTTCCATTTTGAACGTATCCACCGTTTAAGCTAAACGCCTTTCGAGCAAGCCGTTATAGTCGGCTTAAAACTGCTTTGAATTTATGTTAATTAATTAAAGCCAGTTCCTGACGAAAAGGCAATTACGAAGAAAAACTGAGTCAGGAAATGGCAACCACTACTGGTATGTGGTTATAGAGTTCTGAGTAGCGTTGCCAGCCCTATTTAATTAATCAACTGGGGCCAGTTGTCATCAAGCCCGTTTAGCTTAAACGGTGGTTAAGTTCAAAATGGAAAGCAAGTCTATCGTTTTATTCAAGCAGCGAAAAAAGTTTTTAACCTTAATACAGCGATACTGTTTACAACTACAAATTCAGTGCATAATATTCAAGTGGACTCATTCAAGAGAGATGTAAGGGTGCATGTTTTTTAAATTTGACTTATCCACCGTTTAAGCTAAATTAAACATACAACCGGCCCCTGATCTGTTAAAATTTGTCTGCAAACTGATATGTAAAGAAATAATTGCGATTTGCAGGCCGTGATGCAAAATGTCACGCGTCTTGTTGCGGCTGCATGTGGATACTTCATTTATAATATTGAAGAAATATTACTTGGACGCCAACAAAAAAGCGTACTGTAGTCGGTATAGGTGCATGTTTCCTGATTTTTACCTTGCATTTTGTAAATTTTATTGGGGTGAATTGTGATATTCAAAGGCGCAGTTTGCACTCCCTTCCATTGGCCTCAAATTTTTATTAATCACCCCAAATCTTTCGTTTTTTTAAATGAACACGTGTATAGTGGCAATATTGTAAACAAGTCGCGTTAGGCCAAAATACCGTTGGCCTGGCAATTCATCCAAATTTTGGTTATTTATATTTGTTGCCAGCGTGGCAGCTGAGGTCTGGACGATCGCCATGCAGTTAAGATAAAAATTGTTGCCGCTGCATGCACAGTGCATGCACAGATGGAAATTAATGTCTGCATGGTTCCCATTTACTCGCGTGTTTGCATGAACACGTCAAGGTAGCTGATGTGATAGCATATTTCTAGTATACTTGTACAGTCAAGAGTGAACGATTTGAATTACATGATGGCTATTTCTCATCGGTCAAAATGACTTGTTCACGAGAATTACGACTAAATTGAAACCAGACTTTAAACTGAGAGTTTTCATTCATTTGGGAAGGCTGTTTTAGGGAAAGGTCGCTGTGGCGGTCAAAACTGGCAAATACGCATATAACGTGAAAAATAATTTTTGCACCTACCCATCTAGCTATTTCTACTTTTAACTGTAGTTTATGTTTTGCATTTTAATATTCTTTATTTACTATTGTAACTTAATAGGATTTATGTATCTTTACAAGTATGTTGTGACTGACTCCTATTTTTAATGGGAAAATGGAATATATTACTCAGAAAGAAATGCAGTGGAGACAAAATTGACTTTTTTTCCGTCACTTGCAAGTGTTATAACTCTTTTATCCACCAATGACAACAGCTCAAGTGAAAAATTGGAGCAGACCGTTTTGTCGTAAAGATTTTATTTTCGAAAGTGTAGAATGTAAAAATGTCTTGAAATTTAAGAATTATCAGTGTTTCAATCTCACTCATAAATTTCAACGCCATCTTAAAAAAATGTAAACAGCTTGGCGCCATAATGCCACAGGACAATTTTTCACATGTTTAGAAAATCGTACGTCCAATAAAGAGCTGTGTAGATGGCATCTTTTCACACACAAAAAATCATTCAATCAAATTGCATAACGTTAATTATTCAGTATAAAGAACAATTTTTATATATTTCGTCATTTTATTGTGCATATATACATCTTTAAATACATGAACATGCATATAGGTAATAAATATAATTATATCGGCTTTTATGAACTGAATTTTTGCATTCGAAAAACCGGCAGCCAAATACGAATTAGAATGAAGCAAGCAATATATTGTGAAACTGTGGTTAGCGGTTGTTATGCCTTTATGCTACAAAAAATATGAACAGTTAGAGGTAGTCGTCATTTCGACCGTGTTTTTCCCTTGGATTGCCGGAATGTGCTTTGAAGTCACGGTGCCGTTGAGTGCTACGACGGTTCAAGTCAACGGCACTTTCGCATGCTCCTGGAAAACGCAGAAATACTCTTTGAAAACAATCGTCATCGCACTATTCATGCACGTTTTGTAGGAACGCATGGTTGTGATACCCGCGGTCGTTATGGTGGCCGCATACTGTCCGATTATAGTTCACATGAAGAGAGTAAGAAGGAACGATAGAGAGAATATTAGACAAATCACCGAATTGAAATATATTAAACGAGTCACGATGACAGCTTTTTTTGCCTCCAGCGTCATAATTGTGTGCTGGCTACCCGATCAACTATATTACGCATTGTCGCAGGTACAGTTGACGAAGCTCGAAACCACAACGCATTTTGTCGTCAAGGTCTTGGCCTTTCCAGAATTTTCAATGGCTGAGCAGCGTACATCATAAAACTGGTATGATTAAATCAAGATCCGCGAACTATTTACAAAGTGAAGAGGGACACCGATGGGCACTTCTCCGCATGTATATAGTAAACATATTTATCCCCATACTCAATTTACCCCCCCAATAAATGGGGAGGTACCGTGCCCCAATAAGCCCCTCAGGTTCCGCGGCCCTTGGATTAAACAACTCATACAGTAGACTGATGCTACACACAACCACAACACTATAGATAAAAAATTTTAAAGCTTCATATAATAAAACAATTGCTGAATTAAAATGGTGATTATCCATGCAAGATAATCGCGCAAAGTATATTTGTACATGCACTATTGACAGTCTTCCTCCTATGGAAGCTATTCTCATACAATTTCCATACAATGAAATCTCTGAATTTTTCAGTGTGTCAACTAAAGAACTGTTTAGACCATAATAGACTGTACTTAAATTACGGCAAGTAGCAATTTTAATAAGTTTGAAAAAAATTGATATTAAAATCAGTTTAAATTTTTTCAAAAAAGAAGTTTTTCATGAGCCATAAATATGCGCGGGACGGACTTCGCAGTACCAAGAGATGGGCTGGGTTAGACTATTTACATCTTCCAATAAAAACTCGCGGCAAATGGAAGCGCAATTTCAGATCAAGCCGTCTATGTGAGCTGTGTTTATGCCATTGTAGATTTCTTCCTAAAAAATTTGATAGCATTTACTTAACATAATAACACATTGTTTTTGTCGGCTCAATCACTTTCGTACGTAGGTCTTTTTGTCGTAGCTCTATTTCCGTGAAATCGTCATCGCACACTAAGGAGAATTTGAAAGGCTTGGCTGGGTAGCGCGATCGTCAACCAAGAATACTTTCATAGACATGCGTTGGCAATCAGGCAATGGTCATTCTATTTGGCTTCAAATTGTTAATTGTCATAAGCATATTATTAGTAATCATGTATTTATAACATAGCCTAGAATTTAAGATTAAACTGTGAAGTGTATAATATTGCTAAATTGAAGGACGTGGCTCATGGTTTTGGCGCCAGTTGAGTCTTTAGGAGATAGTCAAAAGATCCTATTTGTTCAGACATCCAATATGTTGCTACTTCCCAATTCACCTTAAATTGCAATTTATTGAAGTCTATTCAATTCATTCTGTTTATTGCACTCAAGGGTATAGTAAATCCCGGGTAATAGACACTGGCCACTGGGGGCTGGGGGCACATGCGCCTTGATCTTTTTTGGAAGGATACAAAAATTTCCTCTTGTGTAATGAAAGGTAACGTTTGTGTTATGGAAGCTATAGGATGCTATAAATCATTTGACTTTTCAGTGTTTAAAAACGTATTTAGAAAACCAAAAAGGTAACGTTTATGTATGCAAATATTTTTTGTTATTCGTCTGTCTCAGGCAACATTGTTCCCAAATTGTGCAAAACTTTACATTTCCGGCCGGCCGGTGGTTGAGTGGTAGCTTCCAAGTTCTTTTCATTTCAATTTTTCAATGTCTACACCACACTTAAAGTGGAAGAACCCCATGTTTTAGCCTGCGAACAGGCCTAATTTCCGCTAAACTGCGCTGAAGACTGAAGTTCTCTGAAGGTACAAATTTACTTGTACTCCCCTATATTTGGAGTTTGGACTCACTGTTTCCTTATTTAATATTTTGTGGAATAATGACTATGAAGGTGAGTGAGTGTCTATTAAGACTTAAGAGTTTTTATGACACATGCCTCATAGTACTCAAAGGTAACTAATTGAGTTGAGTGTCAGGCAGGGCCTTTTAGAACATATAGAACTTTGTATCATTAGAACATAGTTGATAGTTGCTAATATGATGGGATTTGCCACTCTTCATATAATTCATATACATTTGCGGACCTCATACCTTTGCGGGGAGCAAATTCTGGCAAATATGTGGCCATTAAGAGGAATATTATGTCATTAGTTGTAACAATTTTGATACACTTTGTTCAATTATTTTTTTCCTGCAGCAAACTTTAGCCAACGTCAATTTATGCTTTAATCAATTTAGATTGGTATCATTGGTGGTACTGGTTTGAACAATCCAAATATTTTTACAGATAAAATAGAAACTGTATATAACACCCCATATGGAAAGGTGATTGAAAGTTGTTTTTCTCAATTTTCCTCAATGTATTGTGTTAAATAATAATCTCCCTACTGCATGTACACAGAATATCTAAAAATATATTTGGAGGATTCTTGAGTAATTGGCAATATTGCAAAAGATAGTTGCATGTACATTAATTTCACAACATTATGCTTAACACTCGATGTTATCATTTATTAATTGCAATTACAGGAACTTGAAATTTTCAACAAATTATAAGTCAAATTATACTTTTGTTACTTTACTTGAATTAGCCATCTGATGTTCTATCATTTGGGAAAATCCATGGTGTAGACTGTGTGTTATTGCCAAGGTAATGTTTTGAGTAGTATATTGGAACGTAATGAGGTTCGAAGGAACATGAACTAATTTAATGCAATAAGTCTATCACATTACATCACAAACATTATAGATCAACCTGAGGTAACAAGGGGGAATTTCATTTTAAACTGATTGCCATATTTGCTCACATTTTTTAGGCAAATCCAATCAGCATGCCTTAATTTTTAAAACTTCATGTAAAATGGTAAATAATGTACCTTTTTACTGGAAGTAGTAAAAATTTATGCATTCTTGTTTGGTCAATGAAAATGTAAACAAACTTGCTGATTGGTCTGAAATGAAATTCCCCCTTGTTGCTCTGTTATTGCCTGTCAACTGACAAAGGGAGCTTGACCGACAGTGATTTATGATAATTTCTATCACCATTCATGCACCATGAAAATTTTGTTAGGCTATATGCATACTCATTGTTTGGCAATTGTCCTTACATTCTTAATTAACATGAATAAATTAACATGAATAAATTGGTGTTGGCCCTCAATTTTCAATATGCCACGTCTGCAATTTTCACTATAGGCATTTATAGGCATGCATATGCATACGTATGTTCTTTAAAGAATTTGCTTTATAGATTTCAAGCAAAATTATTTTCACTCAATTTCTGGATGAAAAAAATACCAAGGTGCACAAAATTTGAGCTTAAAAAAGGGAGACTGGGAATTCCAGGACTGAGAATTTCCTCATTCCTTTTAAATCCATTTAAAAAAACCTCAGTCTGACATTTCAAAGTACAGACCTCACGCTCCGTCAATAATCAGTTAATATATACGCACTTACCCGACCATAGGCATAGAGACGCCATTAATCTCTACGTTTTTAATGATACAGACACGACAGAAAGCACACCATCATGCCAACCAATATCAACTACAGGGCAAATATTTATGCGTTAAAACAGGCCGGATGCACCCATGTTGTATCCACCAGTGCCTGTGGGTCGTTACAAGAAAATTGCCACCCAGGAGATTTTGTATTTATTGATCAATTCATCGACAGAACAACAAAGCGGCCATCAACTTTGTACGATGGCGAAAAAGGACATTTAGAAGGAGTTTGCCATGTACCAATGGATAAACCATTTTGCGAACCCTTAAGACAGGTATTTCAACCTTCGATATCATGTTGTACATTCGTGCACCCATTGTACCAGGCTCGGTATTCAATCGAAAAAAAAGGTTTTTAAACTCTATGATCGATTATTATTATGTATTAATATTATGATCGATTATTAGTACGGAGTACAGTCGGTAATGTATAAAACAAACGCTTTGTTTACATTTTGAATCCATATATTTCCTAAAATATAAAGACCTTTTGACAGGCTTTTAGTTCGCCATACTTTTAAATGAATATGAGGAGAGAGAGTTTTTGTCCAGAGATATGCGAAACATGCTAAGTTTGAGCAATTTTGAAACAAATAGACTGACTACTCATTGTTATGAGCAGAACCGATGCGCAGAAACGACTGTATAACTTACCCGATTTATTTTAAGAAGTGACTCCAGAATTAGGAAAATGATCCAAACCAAATTTGCCAATGTATATCTTTGCATTTTTTTTTCTTGCATACAATGCATCCTGTAATATTGAATCTAAGCAACAAAATGCATGCATAATAACGGTATATCATCCGAAACCTTGATTAGCTTGAATATTGCTCACAGACACCGGCAGTGTCAGTGACATCAACGCAATAGTTTTTTGCCGTTAGATTTTAATCGACACCGCGAAATCTTTGGGATTTTCACATCATACAAAAGGAACGGTAGTAACAGTCGAGGGACCGCGTTTCTCCTCGAAAGCGGAGAGTAAATTATTTCAGAGTTGGGGGTGCGATGTTGTGAACATGACAACGGTCCCAGAGGCTTGCTTAGCTAAAGAGGCTGGCCTTCTATACTCAACAATGTGTCTAGTTACGGATTATGACTGTTGGAAAGATGATGAAGGCAATGTTGTAAGTTAATTATTTTTGTAAAATGTAGTTGATTTATGATCAAAAAAGAAGAATGTAAAATATCTAAAAAGTTACATATTTTAGTTCTAAATTATGCATGCCGGGGATTATGCAATTAAAATACAATATTTTAGAATATTTATCATTGTATTAATGCTATTAATGTGTACTTCACAATATGTTGGTGTAGTGATAATAACACATTTCGACTCACATTAAATAACACTTTTTTTTTCAATTCAGGTCAGTGTGGATTCAGTGTTACAAGCCTTCAAAGAGAATATCGAAAAAGCTATTCAGTTAATTATTGCGGCGGTTCCGAAAATTGCAGAGAAAAAATGGGATGAAGAGATTAAAAAGTTAAATGTATGGTTATATAATTTTTTACATAAGTTTGTATCTCATGCCTATTCATGTGGTGTTCGGAAAGTTAAGCATTAGATTCGGCAGGTGGGTTCGAGTTTGAACGCACCTGCTCTTAGCCAATAGGAACACAGCTTTTACACTAGGTATGGGATAACATTTTAAATTGTTTCTTCGTCATGTGTCACCTGACCTGTGTATACAAAATTACTCTGTTTACAATTGAGAGACAGGTGAGATCATGCCACTAAGTGGGTAGATGCTTTGGGGGAGCTGCGTAAGCCCTTCGTTAAAGACAGTTGAGTGACTGCTTTTATTATTATTATAAGTACAGTACTAGGGTTCCAATAGGGAATATACTTCGTCTTGATTTTACACAGTGTTCCTATTTGCTGATTTTGTTGCGGGTTTTTTTCAGGAGAGTGTAAACAACGCTCAAATGTGAACAACGGGAAATAGCAAAAACATTTTCACGGTTATCCAAGAACATTCGTTGCCAGTGGTAGTGGTTGCTGGTTAGTATTGCAAGGTAGTAACACTTTTATTTAGTTACAGTATTATACATAAAGATATCATTAAACAAAGGTAAAGTTTACGCCAGACGAATTCATGTAATGTGATGTGTTGGCTACGGTGGATGAAATGCTATTTTTATTTTCATGAACACGCTTTTGAAGTTCACTGGGACTATTCAGTTTGCGAACTTTGGTGATCACGTACTTCCTCAGTTTTCCCCTGTGCAAATTTTGGTCTGCTTCCATAGGTTGAAGAGAGGGGGTGCCGATCTAAATTTTTTTGAATGGAGGTTTAAAATACTTTTTTTCACATTTTTCCCGAAAAAAACTTCATTGGGGTCCGCTTCTCGTTCAGACTTATTTATCCCAATAAAGTAGTGAAAGAACGTCTGTCTACTCAGGCTTAGTAGACCTTGGATTGTTGGATTGTGTACATTTTTGACGAAAATTAAAATGGCAATGCCGGTCATGTTCTGTTTGTGCATCAAAGTTATTTATTTTCATTCAACTTTATAGGTCACGTGTAGTCCGTCCGTTTTACGCATTCGTTCTGCTCAAACAACGAGCCCGGCTGACTGAGAATTCCCAATATTTTCGCAAACAGGCTTTTTCAGCTCCCTTAACCAACGTGGAGCCCTGGAAGAATGAATTACAGTTTTGAAAATAGGGGTTTAGATTTCATCCTAAATTGTCAAAACCGTCCTCGAGAAATATTTTTTATCTAGCAGGTTACGGAAACACTCAGAAGATGCGAATTAATTTTTGACATCCCTACATAAAGTAGTTGCATGAGTTACATCCGTTCATTTTTACGGAGGTTTTTATTGGTTGACCGACAAATCCGTTCAACCAATGAATAAGTGTGTTTTATTCAGAAGCCGACCTTCTATTTCGTCAAGGCAGCGTGCTCCCCAGAACATCTGACACAACATCTGACAACTGAGCGATTTTGCTCGAGATTTTTCCTTTATTTTTGTTTTCTTTTGCTTTTCTGTTTTGTCATTTTAACGAAGAATGGATTCGTCGTATAGCGATCGAAAGATGGACTCATCGTATAGCGAGGACAACTCGCAAAACAACAACTTGATCGTAAACTACCTGCCTCCAAGTATGACCGAAGAAGAGATCGCCAAACTGTTTAGTTCTGTGGGAGAGGTATGTGAGTGTAAGTTGATTCGAGACAAATTGAGCAAGCACAGTATGGGCTACGCATTTGTGAATTTCAAGTCGCCTGAAGATGCGAAGAAAGCGATCGGAACTTTGGATAAGTTGAGATTACAAGATAAAACCATTAAGGTGAGCTACGCGAGACCCTCGTCCTCTGATATCAAGAATGCCAACTTGTATGTGAGCGGTTTACCCGAGGCGATGTCCGTGGATGAACTGGAAGAAATGTTCAGCAGCTTTGGTGTTATTATAACCTCGAAAATCCTAACTCATCCGGACGGTAAAAGTCGCGGAGCTGGTTTTATCCGTTTCGATAAACATGCACAAGCTGAAGTTGCCATACGAAACCTGAACGGCACGATCCCCGAGGGCGCTATAAAGCAAATAACAGTTAAATTTGCCAACCCGCCACATGGCAACAAACAGAAGCGAATACCTGAGGCACAAATGATGAGTCCTAATGGAGGCAATACCATGATCAATGGCAGAGGTCGAGGCTATGGTAGTGGCAATGTTGGTCCAGTGTTTCCACAAGGAACAAGCTATAGATATTCTCCTATGAGTCCTGTTGCCAGTTCACCAATGTCAATGAGCATAACATCATCAAATCAGAGTAGCTCCTTCAATGGTACAACATGGTGTATATTTGTATATAACTTGCCGCCCGATTCAGATGAGAAAATTCTATATGAGCTGTTTGCACCATATGGTGCGATTCTCAATACCAAGATTATCCGGGATCCAGAGGGAAAACCAAAGGGATTTGGGTTTGTAAACATGCCTGATTATCAAGCAGCTTTCACAGCTATTGTTGGTTTAAATGGTAAACCAATGGTACATGGAAGGACACTTCAAGTGTCTTTCAAAACACCAAAGAATAAGTAAGTTTTTAACTGTGTGACTGCATTATTATGCAGCTTATGCAAACTGTGTGATATTTTATCTATAGAGATACATATATTGATACATAGATATATATATAAATTAGAACGTTTTTGGCAATTTGGAGGAGGCTAGGAGTATGGAGTTAATTCTTTGTGTTCCAGACCAACATTTATCAACTATAGTTTCAGTGAAATATGGCTGTCTGTTACATAATTGTTAATTCCTATTTCAGAGAAAGCATTCATAGAAAACTACTGACATTTAAATTAATTAATTTGCCTACAAAAATACTGCATGATGGTCAAGTGTGTATCACAATTTGTTTGAGACAATTTCTGTCTAAGATGGAAATTTGTCCTGTTCAATTTAGTGCTCGTTTATGTTATATTGACAAATGAAGGAATGAATGAATATGGTTTCAACTCTAAGGGGTACAAAATGCCACAAAAGGAAGGACTTAGAATAGTTGAATGCTTTTTTATGTTCCTTAGTACAATATTTCACTAGCCAAAAATTAATTTTGCTCTCTGCCACTGTTTGAATCTACTATAATTTTTTATTGGCTGATTATATATAATGTGCCACTAACAAAGCAGCAGAAAATATTAACTTTGGTCTAAAATAGAACTTTTTTCCATTTGGTAATTTTTTCACAATCACTAGGAAGTCCCTCTCCAACTTGGCCTTAATATTTTATAAACATTACAGAAATGTTGTGTGCACAAAAGTGTATGCAAAAGCTGTATTTAAGAAGTATTGAATATTTCAGACAAATTTAATGCTCATATGGCTTGATGTTCAAGAGAGGCACATATGCCCTTTAGGCCTATAAAATTCATTGTGAGTAAATAGTTGTTTCACCAAGGAAACTAGTGTATAGTATCACATGAATTAACACACTGTAAAATTATTGTTACCTCTCAGTTATACTTGTATTATTTGGAGTTTTTTTTGCTTTTGCTTATGTTAACATTTTGAGTTTTGGTTTTAGATTATTCCTTTAATTTCTTTGAGACTATATGTCAGTTGTAAATTTATGATTTGTTATTGTTTACATATTCATGTAGGCATTGATCCTGTTATTACGTTTTTGTTTTGTTTCTTTTGCTCATTTAATTAAATTTACTTCAAACCATTTTGAGTTTTATTTTATTTTATTTTATTTGTAAATGTTTTCTTTTTGGAAATGGCTTTCTTTTATTGTATTTGTTTTTGATTGTTGAAACTATGAAAGGGATAAATATTTATGATAATTTGTTTATGAGAAACTATTGAACTTGTAACGTTTTTCCTGGTGGAAGAGAGATAATATTATGGCAGCCATAAACGTTGATGGATACCATGTATCGTGAATATTTATCGTAAAAATTGAAAAATATATTTATTTTTATGACATCCCATGTGTATTGATTCCAATGAAATATTGTTCAAATATATGATCTCACACGTTATATTACTGACTTAACCCCCCTGTCCCTCTCGATGGCACACCCTATATGTTAGGATAGGCCCCCTGTCGAGCAATCACCTTTGTAATTATTATACAAAAAAGGTTTTATCATTCGTTTCTTTTATTCAGCGATATTTGGCTCGCATTCGGCGAATTGTTAAATGTCAACATATTTTACAGCTAGACATTTAATCATGACAAGTAGGACTCCTTGCATTGTAATAATCTCCGGTTGTCCTGAGTGCACGTTCATTTATTAACGCATTACCCTTCTTTCCGCATTACGCTGTTTTTAAGCGTTTTCACGTATATCCAGTTGAAATCATTATAGTTCTACTCCATTGCAAATAACTGATATGAATGGAGATAGAAACACAAAATCAGTTTTCTGTATCGACGAGTATTAATTGCGGTGTATTCGAACAACGCGCGCGTCTGCACATGCGTCAATCCTGTAATTGACATCGGAAAGAATCCTCGTTCCCATGTTTTTCGCGTACTGGGAAACATTAGGTTTCCATAATTAGGGTTTCCATAATCTACAGAAATTTGCTTAGAAAACAGCTCACGTATGGGTGAGGGGCATTAGTAATGGCATGGATTTGCATTTTTCAAAAAGTGCTTTTTTCACCCATATGAGGAGTGAGGACTACCGAGAAGAAAACGCCAGAAAAACTGATTTACCGTTACGCGCCTTGAAACTGTTATCATCGACGTCGTTTTCGATGTTCAATCACTAGCTAGGCTCAAATGAATTCAATGCTGAGCGGCCGAATTGCCGCTTCAATACCTTTATGGCACATAATTACTATTTCATTACCTAAATGGCCGTAGTAATGAAATCATTTAATATATATGCAAGACTTCACAACTACGCTATTCAAAATGAACAAATCAAATCTTTCGCTTGCGAGTGTCATATAAACAACAAGCTCACCGTATTCATAAATCTTAACCTAGTTCTCCCTAGAATTCTCCACGGATCTGAACACATTTCGTATACCTGAGGCTCAGCGTTGGGACACCGTGTCTGGCGGACAAATATCGTAAACATAGAGTCAAGATAACTATGAATTTTAAAGAAATAAGACGCCCAAGTAACTTCAGAAGTGTGCGAATAAAAGAAGTAACAAACGATGGCTATCAACCGTCTACCGCTTTCGGCGACGGTGTTAGTACGTACGGTGGTTCGGAATTTTTTCAAAATAGCTACAAACTGGAACCTGACCGAAGATTTCCTGTTCAGGAAGTGCAAAAAATCGTGAAGCAGGTGCTCGAAGAGAATCTCAAGAACGAAAAATACGAACGCGAGAAATGCTCGCAGCTGTGTCCCACATTAAGCCAACTTATCCAGGACAAAGTGAAAAGCATCGGTCTACAGCGGTACAAGCTGATAACTGTAGTTTCAATCGGAGAAAATAAGTCGCAGAGTGCACGCGTGGCCAGCCGATGTTTGTGGAATGAGAATTTTGATAATTATTCGTCAGCTAGTTTTTATGGCGAGACAGTGTTTGCTCAAGCCACTGTGTATGGAATATACTTAGAGTAGATGTAGTCATGGTGACTACTTTCGTTGCCATGCGTTGTCAATGTCAACTGATTGCTCTAAGTAGGAATAAATGGCACTCAATAAAGTTCATGTAGTCCTAGAATGCTTTAAATCATATACAGTCCACGTTTCTATTATATCTTTAAAATTTACGTGCCCTTCAAACAAGAAAAGTCAATTTGTCCGCATGGTACGTGGTCAAATTTTATTCAATAAATATTTTCATGATTATGTATCCTTCGCTCTGGTTACTTGTCTTATGTCGTGTTTATAAATGTTTACATATAACTTTTTAGGGTCATTAATTTACCACAGTGGTGCGGTGGAAAAGCGTCAAGCAAAGCCCAGCCTGGCGATTCATACATAAATGTAGTACCCTGATCATGACGGGCCTGAGTGAAATCTGTTCGGAATGCATGAAGACTGATCAATCAGTTGTTTTAATTATGTTTCGATCATATTTTCAATGATGCGTATTGTCCGATCGTTTCAATTTTATGCTTGATAACAAAAGTAATTTCCCAAGAGCCTATATATGACAAGTTGATACTGATTATAGTTAGATACTTGTAATCTTCCGTATATTTTACATCTGCTATATATTTTTGTCCTCGGAGCAATCCTAGATGAACTCTGATCTCTGGCTAACTGTATACTGTAGTACATTCATTTGCCAACTGGCAAAATTGATATTTTTACATTGAAATCGGAAATCGAGTTAAATACCTGGGGCCGGTTGTTCGAAAGGCGTTTAGGTTAAAAGGTGGATAACCCAAAATTTAAAAATAGTCTCATAGATTTTGGGTATGGCTGAACATGCATCTTATGCGTTTAATGTGTACATCGAAATATTTAGCTCGGTTGTTCAATAAATCGATAATTTTGTTTTCTATTTTGAACTTATCCACCGTTTAAGCTAAACGCCTTTCGAACAACCGGCCCCTGAATGAAAGTGGAAGGTAAAAAGATTAATTGAATTCTTTCTCAATTAATTACGAAATGAATTCTATAGGTTTCTGACATTTTACTGTAGTTATACAAGCGCTTGACAAGCTTCTATTGAAATGTAAATGCTGCCTGCTGATTAAATAAAGCTTTCATAAACGCACAGCAAATACAGCGGCACTGGCAAAGAGCGATTTATTGCTGTAGTATGCCAAAGCAATACAGTCGTTTCGTTCGGAATAGAAGGACTGACTCGCAATCGCCGGACCCTTGTCGCGCAGGGCGCCAACATGAACGGACGATATCACCTTGCAATCCAAACACTTCTTTCGTACATTTATTTCGATAATTTCGCTGAGTTTTAGGCACTTCTGGCTGCATTGTTTGTGGTCGTAGCGATGGGTTCCGAGTTCGGACCGTAGCAAATCCACAATCATCTCCTTTATTTTCTGCTTGTTAATATGCAGAGCATCATTTGTTCCCGATGTGTGAGCAAACGCTGTTTGGACGAACACTTCGTTTCCGCAAGAAAAAGCTCTTCCGTGCTTCTTCCCATTACCCATTTCTTCATTGTACTGACTGCAGTTGACTAAGCCATTTTCCCTGGTCGAGTTCGCGGACGTTTTAACATTGGCTATCAATGCTGTTCCTTTCAGAAATCGGTGAAGTGGAATTGTGATGATTTCAGAGACTTTGCTTTCGCTCTTCTGCATACTCTGTGAATTTGTGAATGTAGTATATAAGACTGGAGATTTACGATAAATCCTCAATCGCCTTGCTGTTTGAAAGAATTGACATCCTCACATGATCTGAATAGATGATTAACTAACATAAGATCAATTAAAATAAATGACATCGCAAAACAACACGACATACGTAAGCAAACACAATTAAATTTCAAACTTTAGTAAATTGAAACCCTGACTCGTCCCCAGTCGCTTTGGTGTTACGCAAACAAATAATTATAATTATATAATGGCGCATCAACGCGCGGAGGAACGCGCGGAGGGTAATGGGAAGGCGAAGGGAAAATTATTTTTATTTTACGCGCCTTCCCAAGATGCAACATTAGAGACTTTTCCTAGTCACTGATCTATAGATATCACTACTGCTGATCTATAAATGTCCAACCACTGATCTATAAATATCCAACTAAGCGACTGCGGAGGAGTCAGAATTGAAACCTACAATTATATAAATGTTACCGTTCACAAAGCAAAATTTACTTCCGTGAATTGTAATAGCGAAACATTTGGCAAATCGGATTGATTGCCATATCGATGAGTTCTCATCAAAAACAGATCGGATTAACCTAAAGAACTTAACAGTCAATTTTATAAAGCGTTTGATTATCACAATAAGGTTTGGGCGTTTTACTGCGCCAAGATTTTAGGTTTCGTGTACAGATGAAATTTGGACCATCTATTAGTAAAGGTTAATATAGGTAACTTCGCATCGGAAATTATGCAAGTTGTTGAAGACGCTGCCACGCTGCTCCTTGGTTATATTGGAACGTATCTATACATCTCATTGGCCGGTCTAAATTTCTCCAATCTTTATTTTATCATGCAGTACCAAACCTAACATTGAACATAGTGTAAACGCGGAAAAAATTGGTATGGACGAAATTTGATTATCATTGGCAGCAAATGTATATATATTATATCAATTGAACACATAATCGGGAGGGAGTTGCATGCATATTTATACATATTCGTTATATATACGCATGTATATGTGCACATAAATTAATAAGTATATACACCCCCGCTCATATATCCCAAAAGATCTAAGAACTATATAGGTATATAAACTGTAATGGTCTATTTTTGAAAGAGTGCTTGTACATGCAACAGTTGTTCCAAATCGAAATTTCGTCGGCACAATGTCAACTCAGTGAAGTGTAGTGATGGAAAAATGATAACGTTTTGTGATTTAATGAAATTTTACATGTTTATAAAATTTATTGATTATTCTATTTACTGGCGTATATTAGTCAATTATGGGGTTGTTTACTTTATAGAGACATTTCAGCCTGGTACATACATCTGCGATATGTAATTCTGCATGTCATATTATACATTATTCATAAATCATTATCCAACGGCAGACAGGTTCCAGCTGGTGAAAATGGGCCGGAATTTTCAAGGACACCATCAGGAGCACATATCCATGGATCGTAGGTGACATTTTGCCAATGATGCAATTCGTTTCGCAAACTCTCGAACACATCTTCAAATCCCGCCTTTCCAGCAAGGTTCACGAGTTCCTTAGGATCGTTCTCTAGGTCAAAAAGTTGCCAGCGCGGTCGATAGTAATAATCATGCAACGTCATGAACCAATGTGTGTCAATGTGCCTACGTGTTCGGTTAAGGATATCTTGAAACGTTTGTGAAATAAAAAAATCTTGATCGACTGGAAACGGCATTAAAAAGTTCAAATTGTGAATCAGTTTAAATCTTTGTTTCCGTATGACTCTCATTGGGTAGTAACCTGTGATCTCATGAAGGCTGTGACTTGCATACACAGTATCCCAATCGTCGAAAGGTACCTTATGTTCTTCTAGTAAAGGCAGAAGAGATTTTCCAGTTAGCTTGACCGAATCGGGACCAAATATTTTGTATGTGGGATAGGTAATATTGAACCAGTCTAAAACGGTTGGTGTAATGTCAACTGAGCTAACAAGAGCATCGCTCCGGGTGTTCCAGCCTTCCGGGTGCAGCGGCGTCGAGACAAGCAGTGGCTCACTCATTCCAGGTTCTTGCAAGTTTGTGCGACCTTTGTAAGAAAAAAAATTAAATGCCATGTGTATACGAATATTTTTATTCATATCATTAATTATTATTCCCATAATGGTGGTGGAAGGATGTAACTTCATTCATATATTATAGAAATATTCGGATTCATTATTTTGGACGAAATTTAAAATGGAGTCTAATAATTAGGCGAGCACAAAAGCCAGATACCACTTACCAACTTGAAATGGTATTCCATTATCTGAACTGTACAACACCAGCGTTGAGTCTTCAAAACCAGCGTCTTTCAGTTCATTCAGTATCAAACCAACGCCTTGATCAAGCCTACTAATGGTGGTGTATTGTGCTGCCAGGTCCCGTCTTGCAGCAATGGTATCTTGAATGAAATACGGAACTACAACATCGCCTGGATCATAATGAATTGGTTTCCAATCTTCTATTATTCCCATGCCAGGCTCACCGTTTCCAAATTTTTCGCAGAATTGCCCTTATATAAAAGATACAATATAGCATGATCGCTTCTCGCCTGAGTTCCATTAACGGTTATTGGTCATGTCTTCAATTTTCTAACAAATGGTAGGTTGATTCATATGTTTTTATTTTATTACCACCCACCATCTCGCTCAATTTATTATAGCCTGGTTTCTGTCTGTTTTTTCCTCTGGCTCTACTTTACATACTATCTGTTGGGCATACATTCTACCGCTGACCGTATTCTGGATTGGTGTGTCCACAGCGATGAGGATCGTGAAAGCCAATGTACAGAAAGAATGGTCGGGTATCTTGCTGGGATTCTTTTAAAAACTCCCTAACCAATAATTTCATGTAGGTTATATTTCGACCAACTTGAAGTATGGAATGATGCTGCTCTGTATACTCGAAATCAAACGGGTATACCTTGGATGTTTGAAAAATAAAAAGACTGAAAATGTAATCACTGAGGATGTATATACCTTTGCAAGACTCATCCTATGGTCGTGCTGTTACAAGCAAACATTTTAATTTTTTTTTTATTAATTTTAACGCATCAGGGGCCAGTTGTATAAAACACTAGTTAACTTTTAACTGTAATTAAGGACAGAATTGACAAATCAGAGTTAATTGTGTATTTCCGTGTTAACTAGGATTTAACTATATATGAAAAATGTAGTTGAAGCGTTTTATACAACTGGTCCCAATTCATTATTGATGCAAAGCATTAGATAGATATTGATATTAGGCTCATTCTCTAGCCAATCAGCACTTAGAAGGATGGGCAAGCAAATTTATTTATAGTCGCGGCAATGAAGGCTTTCCGAAAAATATTGCGCAATTAGCCTTTCTCACGATGACGAATTTTGTTCTTACTAACATGAACAAATATTACAAAGAACCAAGTATTTTCCTGCCCTTTGGTCTTTCTGATTATTCAATAAAATGCGCAATAAGAATAGACCTTTCCCCTTTTAGCTTTCAAGCGCACAATGCGTGTCGGTAGTTGATTATCAAGCAACTTTGAGTTGCAATATCGCTCTGCTTAGAAGCGATTTTGTTTGTAAAAAAAACCTTGCTGATTCTTTTTGCTTCTTTGTTAAACTAAATCGCCAGCCTCGTACCCACGCGCTTTAATAGTAAAATATATAACGTTGCATACAGTGATTGTATAACCCCGAATTCAGTGATTGTATAACCCCAAGCACCCCCGCGCGCTCGCCTTTTTTTAGCTGACCTGTATACAATAACTGAACCTTAAAATATTTTACTATATTAAAGCGCGTACGAGGGGTACGAGGCTGCAAAATCGCTCCTGAACATGGCGAAATCACAAAGTTGAAAGCTAAAAGGGAGAGGTCTATTGTTCAAGCAAAAGTAATTAGTGAAAATAGGGTGACATGAAGTAAGGAGTTTTTAAAGTTTTCTAAAATATTCGATGAACTTATGTAAGCCAACTGATAAATGGCAAAGGTTATAACCAGTGGCGTAACTAGAACGATAATTGGGGGGTGAGGGGGGGGGGTGAATATTCATATATTCAGTTCTGCCCTACGGATTTCTATTGTAAGCTATTGCAATTACAAAAGAAATCCGTAGGGCAGAACTGGATATATGAATATTCACCCCCCCCCCAATTATCGTTCTGGTTACGCCACTGGTTATAACGAAACGTTTTTGTATAGAGTGCATGCATTATATTTTAGGAATATGCGCCTTCCTCGCTCCTTCGGTAGCAATAATCGTTACATGTCAAACCCCCCCCCCCACTAACACTCAGACGCCTCTTTTCATCCGATTTTCAAAACAAAAACATCAAAACGCTCATGACCCATTTGCCAACCCACAAACGGTCATAAAAGGTTTATCCATATTTTTTATGAAACTAGTCGAAACTTTCGGATTATCTAACTATAGCTGTTTATAAGAACTATAGCTCTACGGAAAGTATATATTTTATAAAGAACTAGTCACAGTCCTTTCGCGCCATTTCAGTCACCGCCTCATAGTGAAGTGGTGCATATTTCTACGCGTAAACAGCGTAATTTGATACTTTCTAAATATTTTCAATATATTCACATAAAGAGTGGTTAAATAAACTAAATATCTTCGAAGATGCTTTTTTAAAGAAGGCAAAACGTTCGAATTTATAAAGAATAGCGTTCGAGATATTCCAGTTTTCTATGGGCCTCGTGCTGGGCTGAGATTTCAATTTTTCAAATCAAATCAATTAATCAAGAATTTATATAAGTGTTTTATTGGTGCTTGCCAGAACGTGGTCATGATTGTCTTCGTTTGTAAAAGCTGTCACAACATGCAGGGGTAACACAGGAGGGCTTACAAGTTAAGTAAGTATTTAACTGTTGTTTTGGAGAGCTTACTTTTTCAGGTCCAACATGTTTTTTGCCAATAATCCCTGTTCTCACCCCAGAATCTTGCAAAAGTTTGGGCAAACTTTTCACAGCATCAAAGGAATTGAAATGATGAACTTTATGATGCAAGCCATACATTCCATTTTGGTGTTGTGGCAAACCTAAAGCAATAGTAACTTCTTCACATAGTATAACTTCACTACTTGTGGGCTGTGATGTGTCTATGAATAGGTCTGGTGCCTTCTTATAGCAGGGAACAGGAAGTGTACAAAACTTGGCACATATTTGAACCAGCCATGTATTTGATCACGATCGATGATGCACATGAGGTTGATTTTTTTACTCAAAACAACAATATCAATGTAGTCATCAATGGTACAGTAACAACAAATATTAATTTAAAGCTTAATCTGTTAATTGGTGAGTACTATTTATTGAATAACACAATAAATAAGTGGCATTTCTGGCAATCTGATTGGAAAGCATAGCATGATATTCATAATTGCCAAATCTGCTTCTGAAAACCTCCTGAATATTCCAGGAATCACATCTGCACTCCTTAATTTCCAATCTATTTCCATTGAACATTTGGAACTTAATTAAAGAGGACAGACTGGTCAGCACAGGCCCATACCTCACATTATTATTAAAACTTTAACCCCTGGCCCCTTGTTGACCTCATTTGCCTTGGGACCATGTCCCAACATCCTGTAATGCTCTAGCTTCCTCTCCCTACAAACAGCTGGCTGTGCTAATGAATGTTGCAATTTCAAAATTCAACAATGTAGCGTTGTAGGGCATTATCATGAAGTCTAAGAAATGGCTAGATTTTATTTAGCTGCTCATGTTTAAAGTGGATGCTTTTAATAATTCAATTTGGCTACCTACTCTGGCTACCTAATCACAAAACGAAAATTTCGCTGCGCGACTCTGACGACTGACCTGTTAAAATAGCTGAACGGCTTGGGGAACAGCTACTCACGGATGTAAATGCATGATCAAAAACCACACTTCGTTCAGCTAGTGCGTTCAAATTCGGTGTACGACATACGGAGTTATTGTAAGCTTGCATTTCAAATCCGCCATCATCTGCGATAAATATAAGCACATTTCTTCGACCTTTGAAGCTGGGCGGCAAACTATGTACCGTACCAAACATATATAAATGTGTGAAACATCCAAGTAGCAATGTAAGACAAAGAGTACTATCCATGACTGGTATCGTCACAATATTTGCAGCATTACCCATAGGTATTAGTGTACGGCCAGTCTGGCCTATTGTGCGCATTTTAAGAATGCCAGTTGCCAGGCCTGGCCACTCAGTCCTGGCCACAGTTTCAAATTTGTCTGAAAAAATAGGTGCGCTGACGTACAATCATAACAATACTCACCATAGCATAACCCTCTGGTCATAAGTCATAACCAATGACAAGGCCACAATCTGGAAACCCAAAAAACTTTAGAGCGTTTATAATGAGCTAAAATTTTACATTAATAAAGACGGTTTCACCACACAAAAAGAGTTGATCATTCATTGTCGACATTGGCATATGATGTCACAAGCTTACATGGACAAAAGATTAAAGATAGAACAGAACTAAAACCGGAACATGTCGCAGCTCTTGGAAGCTTTTATCCAATTAGATGATGCTTTTCTATGCTTTCTAAAGAATGAAGCTATGCTATTGGTTGAAACAGAAATGTATTGTAAAATTTAGCCAATAAAAATCATTCTTGCGAGAAGTTGCGACACTACCCCGGCTAAAACCGAGTTTTAGGCAAGGACAGATTTTCAGATTTCGCTTAGGACGCTTAGGAATTCATGTTCGACAATGTCAACTTTGTACGACATTTTTCTTTGGTAAAAAAGTTCTAGTATTGCAAGAATTCTGGTATAGCGACTTTTTCTATTTTCGGCAACTTTGAAGCAATTTTTTTTTTGAGAGCAACTATCGAGGGTTTTTCATGTTTTACGATTTTTGGTTTTACGAGAATGCCAAAGTCTGTGTGTACGTGCGTAAACAAACTCATCAGCGTTTAATTAAGCTTGAATACATGCTGGGCAATCGGTTGTTTTCTTTGTTATCTAGATGTAAAACCCTATCAATGTATAAATCGCAAATTCCTAGTCAGCCACAAACACCACAGACGCAGAGAACCTCGGCAGCGTGCCATTATATAATCTAAAAAGCATAACTTTTCAACACCTTTCTTTTCTATTCAGCCCCATATATTCATTAAATATCGGATAAACGGTCATAAACCAAGGGAAATAGCGAGAGTCGAGACTTCTGCTTTCCGGTATATGCTTTGTGACTTGTCTTGGCCTGTCGCACAAACTTCATTCGCGGCTTATAAAATATTAAAGCAGACTAATTAGTAATATGCAGTGCGGTTATAAAGATTAATAAATGCCCGCCACGTCAAATGCAGGCGAACTAAAACATTTTCAATAATGAAATCGCATTCTCTATCGCTTGGTTCAACTAACGGGCTATTTGGAAAGCCAGGGAAGGGGAATTTGGTGCCATTTCGAGATGATAACGGAGAAAAATTTAATTTCAAAAACGCTGCCTTATTCAAACGGAAATAATGAACCAATCAACTATGGCGTTCTATGTTATCTTTTGAATAATCAGCCAATAACGTCAATCCACATAAATAAATCATTTTCACACTTTATGCTAATACATGATTCTTGGTATTAATTATCAACATGGACTCCGTATCGTGTTTGATGGCGCTGTTTGATTTGGTCGCTTTATTCGCTGTGATAGGACTTCTATTTATGTATTTCGTTCATGTCGTAGCTATTGTCTACGGGTAAGATTTCTTGTGCACTTTTATGTATTTTATACTGTGTAATTCACTGTAGTGAAATTTGTCCTTTGTTGCTTTATTCGATGCACGAGACTTTGTTTATAACGTGAGGTCATTCACTCGTAGAAACATCCGTCTATTTTTTGTAGCAAAGTTAAGCTCCACAGATTCAATTTGACATCAAGTCATGTTTCTCAGGGTCCTAATAATTTCTGTCCTGGTGTCAGTATGTTAAAGGTTTGTGTATAGAGAGATCCGTAACATAATTGTGTAATTTTGATCATATAAATATAAGGTATAAATTTTGTGTAAATCGATAAAATTAAGCAGTCTCGTATTTCAAGAGTGGAAATTGTTTTTCATAAAGTATGAAATCCACCTGATCTGGGTGATACTTGACGATGTATATCTTACATAGCTGATCTTTATACTTAGATACGAATTACACATAATTATACACATAAAAAATTCTGTTGAACCTTGGAAAGTTATTTATATATGCTGGAAAGTGGCCCATCCAGTATGCAATTTGGTTCAGTGTACAAACTCAATAGTATGCATGTGCTATATTCAGAATGGCTTTCAGTGATGTAATTTTTAGAAAGAAATTTTGAAGATACTTGAACTATTGTTTCATTTATCTTAAAATATTTCTCTCAGCAGCTAAGTTGGGCCGGGTGTGAATAACGTACATTATCTTTTCAGTCTATAGTCCTTTCAGTGTATAAAGAGTCTATTTGAAGGTAGAATTTTATATTCTATATGAGGCACTGCCTCATGGTGACCTAATGAATACAAATTGCATATAGCTGTTTTGAATGCAAACATTCTCACCACTAATTTATATAGCAAATGATGCCCTCTCTCTAACATTAATTTAATTTTCCTGGGGCCAGTTGCATAAAAGGGTAATTAACTTTTAACTGTAGTTAGTGACAGAATTTTCCAATCAGAGTTACGTGTTTCAGAGTTAACTAGGACTTAACTATGTAAAATGTAGTTCAGAATTTTATTTAAACAACTGGCCCCTGGACAGTATATATGTATTTAATTTCCCTTTGAAAACATTCATTTTCTTCCCACCTTTTAACTATTGTTAGGTAAATCTGCTCTTCTATTATTTTATTGTCATCATTGTATCATGAATTGTCATCATTGTATGATTATCAAACAACACAACATATACCTCATATAATAACAAGGGGCATGCATGAGGCAAAACGTTTTCAAGGGTCAAAGTGGACCTCCTGCTCTTTTTTTTCCTGAAAATGCCTGCATTTTTGCAATAATTGTGAGGGCTATGTTTTTGTTTGCAACATAAAAATAATTCTATTTTTCCTGCATATGCCAGAGCTAATTTGGTGGCGGTGCCCCCTTTTTGGTGGCGGTGCAACCTTGCACTCCCCACTACCTCACATGTTATGGAAATAACCCTGTTCTTGGTTTCTATCCAAATGAAAACCTGGTCTTCTCTAAGAACCTCTGAAATGCGAATTAGTATATAAGCCATAATCATAAAGTATCCCTTTCTTGGCATGTGGAAGCTAAGCAACTTCAAATGTAAAATGGACAATAGGGTGTAACTAATAAAGTTTGTAAAAGTGTACATAATTGTAATTTTTTTTGGAATTGTAATCATATTATTGTATATAATAATTACATACGTACATATTGTAATGGTACTAGTACCACATAACTTATTTTGTAAATAATAAAGTAAAGTATTTGCTTTTAAAGGTCAGTTACAGTCGGTAATGTAGACGAACGCTTTGTTTACATTTTGAATCGCTATATCTTAAAATATCCTGTCAGTGTCATATCGGTATATTTATCACTATTTCGGTTCACTATATTTCTAAATGAATACGAGATAGAGTTTATGTAATTATGTTCAAAGAAAACATGCGAAATTTGGGAAATTTCTAAATCATGGGTCCCCCAATGTTATGACCACAGAGACAGAGCTCAACCGCTGCGCGAAAGCCGTTGTTAACGTATTATAAACTGCTTAAGTAACGGTATTATGACCGTCATCACTGTCCGAAAGTAGCTATATCCCTGTAAAAGCTAGTAAAATCTAAAACCTCTTTCAAAGTCATCAAAGAGTCGCAATATTAGAAGTGATATTGATCTCCGGTTTAAAACGGTAAATGGACGGTATAAACATATTTCCTTTGTGGTTTTTCAATCAAAATTTTGCATCAATTACCGGCGTCTGTGAGGGGGGGGGGGGGGTTACAAATGAAGATGATTTAATATTGTTATATAGCCAAAACATAGGTGCTGTGTATTTTAAATGTGTATACTGTAATTAATTCGTAGTCACATGACTTTAAATAATGCAAGTAAAAAATTGTTGCTCGCATATTGTCGTAACAAAGTAGTGTGTTTAATTTGTAACGTGTATGTTTTTGTTCTTATGTAACAAAGCACTTAATGTACACCACCTCGGGAATTAGTGAGTTTTGTTTTCCCTCGAGTCTCAATGTTTGTCAGACTCTTGGGGAAACAAAACTCATTATTTCCCTTAATATTATACATTAAGTGTACAATATATGCTGAAATCATAGCTTGTCATCCAAATCAGGCTTGTCATCCAAATAATATATTGAGCTCGTGCTAGTTGTGGCTAATGAAACGTGGCTAGAAATCTCAATTTAGCAATAATGTTGTTATATTTTGATCAGAATTTGTTTTTATTGCATTATTGTTATATTCATTAAACACCACCTCGACAATGGTGATTAAACATAAAGCTAGATTTGCTAGTAATTGTCGTGAATAAGTCATTTTCAATGATGAGAAATAGTCCGGATCAGTGTAAATTTGTCTTTAAATAAATACTTTATCTCTGTATTCTTATCAGTCATTGTTCACTGCACACACTCTATCGCATCAGCCACCTTGACATGTTCACACCACTCAAGAATAACAGAAACTAGACATTAACAGTTATATTGTAATTCGAGTCAAGTGGAATATTTACTTTCGCACTTTACGTTCTGTTAGCCTCTCGTCGGCGAAGATGAAAACCTGTACATGAACTTGAAAAGTTGTTTTGACCTTAACTATGAAAAGGTATGGTATTGTATCATGCATATTTGAGTCTAATCCTACTTCATCGTCAGAATTGAATCTACAATTCAGGTCTATATAATATATATAGACGATAGTTCATATATCAAGTTCGCTTCCCAAATAAGTAAATCATAAATTGTAAATACCTAATTAATTTTGTTATAAGCCTATAAAATGGCAAATTTGAGATCTAAAAAATAATAGTCAGAAATAGTAAGAAATAATAGTCTGTATTTTTTCGTAACGAACAATGATATATACATAATTATTATTTCGCTATATATATCGTATATACCTAACTAGCAAAGCCAGTGATTTTTTTTTGAATTGAGATAAATTTTAACCAGCGAGTTACAATATGCATGTAAGTTATTATTTTAGAGTTATCTTTCATCAATCTCAATTTCGATGTTTCCATTTGACCAAAATTTGTTCATTATATATACATTCTAGCTGCAAATTCTGTTTTGTGTTCAAGACGAAAACGATCCCGCCACTCGAACAGTTAAGAAACTCATGGATGACTATCCCAATGCAGATGTTCAACTGCTAACATGTATGTTAATTTAATATCACTCTAATTTCTATTTTTTTTTATTCTCATGTGTGATTCCATATGTATCTCACACCTTTATTATAAAAATCTTTTGAAATAATTCCACTTTGCACGATCACTTGCTGTCATGAATATATTTATATATAGTGCATCCGGTTAGATTTTCAGATTTTGTGGCTTGTACTGTAGGTGCAACGACTGGAGGAGTAAATCCAAAAATAAACAATATGTTGCAAGGCTACAAAGTTGCAAAGTACGATTTGATATGGATAAATGATAGTGCATTATTTGGTAAGTTAGCACTCACGTGGAACTCTCATTCTTGGGTAGCAATCGAATAAGGTTGAAATTTGAACATAGAACTTCACATACATGCTCAACACCTTCACTCCATATTCCAAACTAAAGTATCTGTTCATGACAATAACTCAGTTTTTAAAATAATATATAATTTATTCTAACTAAAATAATTTGCAGATATGCATATTAATTACAATATATAGATTAAATTTTAACGATTGCCATTTCCATTACGGAAAAGTAGATTCGAAAATCTTCTCAGCCAATCACAGGGCTCCATTTTACCGGAAGTGGCTCTTGTCATATAGTAAATTTGCAACATACAGCAAATACTTATATGATTAACGAAATAGAAAGGTCAAGCCATTCATAACCATACTTCTTATGGTTGGATGTGATAATTGTTGACGGTTCATAAATTTTAACAATAATTTAAAGATATTTCCTCGTTGATTCCAGTTCATCCTAATACACTGTCGCAAATGGTTTCTGATATGGCCGATGATGTTGGAATAACTCATCAGGTATATTAATATTTGAATATGGTTTGGTTTTCACAAGCAGTGAACATTCATTTAATATTATTACAATTATACATACAGTCTTTTATTTTCTAAGATACCTTTGACATAATATGGTATTTATTCATATTTCCGCCATTTCAATTTTTTCTCTTTATGTTATGTTTAACGAAATGGTAACACATATTATACAAAAGTATAGTAAACCGCCATAAAATATATTTTCATTTCACTGATCGGTATACAGGTACCGTTTCTGATGAATAAGTCGTCTTTTGCTGGAGTACTTCAAAAGGTCAGTTATCCCAATGAGACTAATTGAAAAAATGAAACCTAATTGGAAATGCATGTACTATAAAAATTTTACAGTAATAGCAAAAAGACAAATTTTATAGTAAAGCAAAGAGATGAATGAAACATTATCGGGATGGAGAGAGGGTGTTGACTAGCTGGAATTTTTCTACGAATGTTTTGAAAAATTATTATAGGTTCTGCATGTGCTCCTTTAGTACCTATTGACTATTATTTTATTCTCCAATTTATGCCCTGCCAATGAATATATTTTGATGCAAATGAAAAACAGTGCAATATATAGAACAAACCATGCAGATGTGTAGGACTATTACAGTATGGGTTAACAATAATAATACTTTATAATAGGTTTATTTTGGCACCCAACATGCCCGTGTGTATCTCTTTGCAAATGCTCTTGGTTTTACATGTACAAATGGAATGTCCATGTTGTTGAGGAAGCATGTGCTAGATAAAGTAGGTACGCAGCGATGTAGTTTATTGTTTCGGTATATATATATGTATATATATAATAGAGATTTGCGAGTTTGGCAATCTATAGGACAAGAATTAGCTACAATATTTATATTGCCTTTTTCGTGGTGTTCCACTTAGAACTAAAACACTCGTAAAAAGCATGCGCTATACACTACTACATCTGGGATACGGTGTGCAGATATTGTGTTTTGGGTGTCATGACAAAAAATGGCGTGAAATTGATGTCTATATATACCAATAAATAACATGCACAGTATAGTTTTAAAATAATTTTTTCGTCGTTGCTGTATTTTAATACCCGCCTAATAATACGACAGAGATTATAACAGTTCCAAAATAAACAAGGAAACGACAGTTACAAAATAAACAAGGAAAAAGTAAATCAACGCAGTTTGTTCTCTTGAAAAGCAGAAGAAACTTTGTAGAGTCAACCAAGATGGCGTCGAATGACCGATTATGGCGTCATTTGCAAACCAAGAATTGTGCGTAAATTACTCATTTATAAACAAGTGCATGCATGTATTTTTTTGATATTATGATAGATCAGACTTTTCTCTGCTGATCTACATATATTTTTATACCAATTAAATGGAGAAAAAATAAGCAAATACGAGCTCGATTGAAAGTTGGGATGAAAATCGGATATTTCCACCTCTGCGGAATTTTAAAAAAAATGTTGAAATTCAACATTATTATTTGTGCGTTTGCGTAGTTAATTGTTCTAAGCATCGTTTAACAAAAGGCGGCCTCAAAATGCTCATGATTAATTGATTTTTCTTTTGTTAAGCGTAGAGGTGAAAAAAAGTGATATTCACTACGATTTTCAACGAAACCGTATATAACCAGCTCATTTTTCTTCATATGGTTCGCGTAACATATATCATTCAACAGCAAAAAGCCTGATCTAACTTAATATTACAAAATTACTCTCACTATATCAAGTAATTTATGCACAATAGCGCGCTGAAGTTAGGTTACCGTTTTTTTATACACCCTGTGTATAGAGAGAGACACACAAAGGCAGTATTAATTTCCTTCGATCAAATGCTTAAAAATTTTAATTACTACGCAAAACAAAATATAGCTAATATTATAGGCGAGATCGTAAATCATATTCGCATTTTTTTGTTGGGAGAAAATTGTTTCTTAGACTTTTTTACTAAATGAAATTACAACTACGCCATGTATATTCTTTTAATTGTTATGATCTGTTTCTGCGCATGTTCCAATATTGTCGAGTTAAGTTGCTACTCTTCGGACGAATAATCGTAATTGTTTATATTGTAGTTTCATGTACGCATTAGTTTCCTGGCCCGGTGCATGCACGAGAACGGTGCATGCATGAAAATGTTTTAACTACATTTTAACTACATTATACATTTAACTACATTATACATTTAACTACATTATACATTTAACTACATTATACATAACTATATTATACATTTATTTTTCAGGCGGAATTCAGGCATTTTCTTCCTACATTGCCGAGGATTTCTTTATAAGTAAATCTTTTGCCGATAGGTAAATTTACTTGAAATGTTTCTCTTTTTGGTTTTACCTAAAATTTATTAATACTGCTAATGCCAGTGATTAATTTTATCAATTTCATATATTTATCGCATTTCGCGCTTTGGATCTGATTCCTCTGAAGTTGAATAACCCCTCTGAAAGTACTAATAAAATACAGGGTGTCCCAAAGAAACGGAACCCGCGTTATTAATTATGTATTCGTTGGAACTATTATTTACTGCAATCAGATTGTTATTTTCACTAGTTTAATAAACTTGACATTTCTGCATGTGCCTCTGCATGGGATGTCATATAAAATTATTTTGTACTGAAACAGTGTAAGTGAAAGCAATACAAACCAAAGGTATATAAGACGTTTTTCTAATTACTATATATGTTGTGACACCCTGCATGTATATGTTCAGTGCAACAATATAACTGCACATTTGAATATAAACATTCTTAAGGTAACATTCTTAAACATTCTTAAATACACCACCTAATCAATCTGCATTATATTGTATAGTTTGTAAAATTTCTCGATATTGTGGAATTTTGAAATGAAATTGATTTAATATAGTGAAAACGCCACTGAAAATCTTATAGGTTATAATACTATAGCACCATTGTTATAGTTTAAATGAGTGAATGAATGAATTTAATTTTATTTTGCTTCCCAGAGGTTGGAAAATCGTGTTGAGTAGTTTGCCGGCGATGCAAAATCCATCAAAAATCGATTTGTCGTCTTTTTTTACAAGAATGGTAAGGTATGTACGGGTGTTAAATTTTTTTTCATTATTATATTAATTATTAACATGTATTTGCACTTGAAACAAACAAGAAATGCATGAATTCATATTAGTAGCCTGGTACGCATTTGATAAAAACAAAAACAAAATATGGAATTATTTAGTTTACCTAAACGATCTGGAGACTTAATTATATCAATTAAATTTTCTCTTGAGCATTTATTTGTGCCTTTTTCATTCAGAATTCCTCTGTTTTTCATCTCTTAATGGATCGCCGGTAACGCCGGTCCATTACGGGAAAGTCCCGGTCCATTACGGGAAAGTAATGGACCGCTAAAAGTTCTTCTCAGCCAATCATTGAGCTCCATTTCACCGGAAGTGACGCTTGCCATATAATAAATAACGTTAAATTTTGGACGGTTGAACAAATTAAGAAATGCAGTGTTTTGGAGTTGTTTAGAAACTATAAAAAAATTTCAAGTCACAATTAAAACTTTTGAGATTTCTTGTTATTAATGTTGTTGTTATTGTCCCTGCAAGCATTTTAGTGTATTTTGTCATTGGAAATTTGCCTGTGGATACGCGGTCTGATAATATATATAACACCTGCGTAGCGTATGCGATACATGTGTATATGCTTGTGCCTGTAAATTTGCGCACTCGCGACGCTTTTTTAACTATGGTATTAATATTTTTATATGTACAGTTATAGCATTTTACAAAGCCAGTATAGTTAAGCACTTTAAGGCAGTTTTCACAAGGGGGGTTTAAAAGGCGGTTCAGTAAACGAATGAACTATTCCTATTAAAGGTGGACGAGGCTACGTATCACAATGATGCCGGTAATTGGAGTCCTTGAACCATTGACCGAGTGTATTACAATTGGATTATTGGGATGTTTTGGGGCATATTATTTATGGGGACTTAGTATATGGAAGCTTTTACTTTCCCATTGTTTATTGTGGTTTGTTGCCGATCAACTGTTGTTACATATTATGCAAGGGGTGAGTAAGTTTGTTATACACCTTTTTATATTACGATTATATGATATGTTAATGTTTGGACTGATCTTAAACTGGATAGAACAACGTTCAAATTTGCATATTTTCAATTGCTTCCCACAAATAGTATATTTAGATGTTAAATTACTTTCACTTATGCATGCATGCATGCATATTGGCAAAGCAATCATCGAGTTTTTTTCTGTGGAAAAAAGAGAGAATATACAGAATTGATTGATAATAGATTTGTTTCTCGGTATGGAAAACATTTACCCCAATCATCTATACAGGGTGTATCAAAAAAAATGTCCCAAATGTAAAATTTCCGTTTTTCAGGATATTTTGCAGAATTTGGCAAATTTTTGTGTTCCTAGAGATAGATAAGACTTATCTGGTATACCTAGGCCAAGTTTGGTTTTTCATTAACAAAATTATGTTACCGGGGGGGGGTGTTCCTTTCCACTGATATTGAGAGGACTTGCGCGCGAAAATGTGAAGCTGAAATTGAGATATTATTTAGCTGTCTAAAAGTAGGAAAGCTTTTTAATAAACTGTCAAAGTTTCAGGAAAAATAATGCAAACTGGGAGCAACGCGCGACCCCTAAATGTGACAAATATTTCATTGCGCGCAGTGGATTAAATGCATGGTTGATTTTAGCGTGACCGATCTCATGTAAGGCTGGGCAAATGAATAAATTAAAGCGAGAAACTGAACACAAAAACAAAGCGATTTATTCGTGATGTTAATCCTCAGCATTTCCACCATTTCATTCTAAGCAAACTGCTGCTTGTCTGAGCATACTAAACACTGAACACCGAACCATTTGTCTGTCCCTTCGCCTAGATTTGCCGGTGGTAGCGTAGGCGATTTGCAAGAAAGAATTTCGAACGAAATGGATAGTTTGAGGCAGGACAGACAAATGTGGTTCGCCGTTCAGTGTTTACCATGCTCAGACGAGCCGCAGTTTGCTTAGAAAGAAATGGTGGAAATGTTGAGGATTAACATCAAGAATAAGAATCTTATTATTAAATCGCTTCGTCTTCTTGTTCAGTTTCTCGCTTTAATTTATTCATTTGCCCAGCTTTGCATGAGATCGGTCACGCTAAAATCAACCATGCATTTAATCCACTGCGCGCAATGAAATATTTGTCACTTTTAGGGGTCGCGCGTTGCTCCCAGTTTGCATTATTTTTCCTGAAACTTTGACAGTTTATTAAAAAGCTTTCCTACTTTTAGACAGCTAAATAATGTCTCAATTTTAGCTTCACATTTTCGCGCGCAAGCCCTCTCAATATCAGTGGAAAGGAACCACCCCCCCGGTAACATAATTTTGTTAATGAAAAACCAAACTTGGCCTAGGTATACCAGATAAGTCTTAATTATCTCTAGGAACACAAAAATTTGCCAAATTCTACAAAATATCCTGCAAAACGGAAATTTTACATTTAGGACATTTTTTTTTATACACCCTGTATATATAGTAATATAATATCATGCGATTTACTCTTCTAGCTCGTGTCCTATAGTTTTCCTATAGTGATTCTAGCTATACGTGCATGTGAGTAATCCATTTCACTTGAACTTTTTACCAGCCTGTTCCAATGGCACCATTCTACGAGTTAACGCTAGCGTGGCTACTACGGGAGACGTGGACGTACTTCATATTCCTTCGGGGGCTGTGCGGAAGGGAGATCACATGGAAAAATGGCGCGTTCAGAATACAGACTGGCGGGAAAGCATATCGTATACAGGGCATGAAAGTTGAAGATGATGAGCATTGCTTGTGAAATAGATATATAGTGACACATAGTATATATTTATAATTTATACCATACCTGCAAAGCTCCATATGTACAAATCTCGCGTTTCTTCGCGTTTTTAACTACTTTAAAATGTTATGAATGTTGCCATTGTTATGATTAAAAATGTTGCCATTTTATCATCACTTCGAAATATTGTAAAACCTTTTAAATGAGATCGTTTTGCAAAATTGATACTGGCATATATTCGCCTTGTGTCGACTTCTTTTGAGAGTGATTATTTTAACGGTATGCATGCATGAGCATTCAAACAAACACCGCAGAAATTGGTGTTTATGAAGTTTAGACTCGAAAAATCTTCTAATCATTGGGTGCATATAGAGTGATATAGTGTAATTTAAAGTCGGCTACTTAACAACCTACAGTAGTCCCCCGCTAACGCGAGCTTGCTTAACTCGAACTCCTCACTCGAACTAAATCCAATTCCCCTTTTCTTTGGTGATGTTATTTATAGTAATTTACTTCGCTTAGCTCGAACCCCTCGCTAATTCGAATAAATTTTGTTCTCTCTTGGTCGAATATATCCGGTTAACTCGAACTTTGGTTGCGAATTATAGACAAGCAGACTTTAAAATGTGAGAAAATAGCATTTTGACAACTGGAAACTATCCGTCTAAATAACAACAATTAAGTTAATCGGAAATGATTATAAATTTTCAAAGATTATCTGTATAGTGCCACGATCGTTATTGTCTAGCCTTTTTAGTTCTTTTTTTAGCTGACATCTCTTCATATTAACTTCAGTTAACTTTAATATCCAGTTAATTTTTATGGTGTCGCTGATTAATAAACTTCGTTTATATTAATTAAGTTTTGAATTTGGCAAGTTCGTAACGAATCTGTGGACTTCAAAATTAACTTTGAAGTATTTTGGCAAAAGTTATGTGAAATCGACTGCAAAAATATTTAAAGCCTGATAGAAATTGTACCCCCAATTATAGGATACAGGGTTACTAAGGCCTGGTTTACCCTGTAAAATTAAGTTACGGTGTTCACAGTTAAAAATTTGCATTGATAAATGCCAAGTTTTGAATATAGTTCCCTTGAATATTGCAACCAAATACTTTGAAAATTCCATCTGTGATCAAAGGGAATTTCACAGTGTAAACCGGTCTATGGGCGGTTTTCTTTAGGCGACCAAAATGGTGAAACAGTCGAGAATATAACATTTTCAGGGGCGCCGTGGGTGTGCTAATGTAGGGGTGGCCAAAGGCAACATTATTCCGACAAGCACGTTTTTTTTCCGACATCTTTATAATAAAAAAGTAACGAATATTGACAAAACTGACAGGGGGTTTTGGGTAAGGACGCGCAGGCATTTGCTATGACAAAGATCACGAGCTACGTCTACTAATTTAAATTGACGCTTCATGCACAATGAATATGACCGATAAATATTCACGTTTTACATACGCTTTTCAATTGAGTAGTTGAATAATTTTTGATACAGTTAACTGTTTGTGGGAAAACTGTATTACAGAGATTCTAATCCACATGCATTAACAAATAACGCAATACGTTATTTCACGATACTCTATTATAGCTTTGTAATCTTAGTGGATGAGCATACAGCGTATTCTATACGCAACATTTGTTTATAACCAAAATATAAACATATTCGCAAATGCTTCCATCCTCTCATCAGTTTACTTCTTCCGCTGTACTATCGTGGTACCTTATCTTTTATAAACTTCAGGAACCGTTTGACTAAAAGTACTATAAACTTGAAAAGGATTTGCTGTAGCTCCAGCATTCTGATACGGGACATGCTGGTGTTTCTTTGGACGGTCACCATATCAAGGGGGGGTCACCATGGCCCCCCCTGGCCCCCCCGGCCACGGCGCCCCTGAACATTTTCCATGCTGGGGAGATGTAAAATTAACGCGTATAGTGCTAATTTAATGCGCTTTTATTTAATGCGATTTTACTCATTTTAAAATGCTTTCCAGCTCTATATTTTAGTACTTTGAATTTTCCACTTGTTTCTCTGGAAGTTCATTTTTTGACATCGTTTTTCATGAGTATCTATATCCAGTTAGATTATCAGTTCAGTGAGCTTATGTCTCATTTGAATATTTGAATTCCGGCTTAAACCGGCTCACTTGCATACATACATGCATATACATATATAGCAGGGTTAAATCATCAGACATGCTACGTGGGTGATACTCCGACCCCATGCAAAATAATCTTCGAGCAAACAAGTGTCTGAAAAATATTCATACAATAATTTTGTACAAATATTTGCAAATCTTGGCTTTTGCATGCATGGACGTGTATACATAATGATCGCTTAAGCTGACTGTCTAGAATATCGTGGACTTATATAATCACTTTGAGCTCGAACGTACATATTGAAGCTTCGTTTACACGCTACCGGATCCGCTTGTCACGACATCTTCGTTAGCCGTTATGAAGCAACGATTATTAGCAAATGCGTATTATTTTGATAGATTTGGTATATTTATTCAGGTCTCTGAAATTTAAAATGCCCCCTTACTTATTAACCCCAATAATTGACCTGTTCTTGACCGTGTAAACAAGATCCGAGATTCTGAATTGATTGGTTTAAGCCCGTAGCAGTCATTGGCGCACTCCAGCATGCATCATCAACCTTTCGAGGTCGTAATAAAAGAAATATCGCAGAAATATTACTTTTGGCACGCGCACGGCCAATTTCAACCCTCGCGTATAGCATTTTGAGCCCGCGTTTTAACAGCATTGAACAATGTCGTGCTGCATATATACATAGGTTGTGCCCGTATACATTGCTGCCAAATTTGTCATCATCACTTTTTGTGAACGCTATGGGATTGCAGCATGAAATTATTATTCATAAAAAAATTATACTGATTGGTGTTTACCATGCATGCTTAGACTTGTCTAACCATAGGACATTTTGGCTTAAAAATTTCAAGAACCACTGAATATATGTTGTACTAAAATACACAAAAATAGTATCTCCGAGCATAAACATTTCTATGTAGTGGCATTTTATTTTGTTTTGCATCACACTCTATATAATCGCATAGCATTTGATAACATTTCAAAAGCTGGAAATAAACCTCATTAAAATTGTTTATATATTCGGAGTAACTCGGTATTGTGGTGTATTTTACATTTAGGCTTCCTGCTGGCTTCTTTTCTTTCACAACTATTACCACATCATCTGAGGGCGATGATGTACATGATGTGATGACGATTTTAAAACAGATGAATTAAGGAAATTTTTCTCGGACGCTAGTTTTAAAATCACCTGTACACCTGTAGATGTGTCCACATCTGAACAAGCTTGAACAGGGTATAGAAAACTGAATTACATCTACAAATATGCCTTTGTTAATTTGACTAAGTTTGCGGTTGCGATGCAACAACAATGTTATTGCGGAATAGTATTGCGAAAATATTTTTATTGAAATTTTTATTAGAAAGCATGTTTAGGCTTGTCTTACCATGAGATTATGTATGGCTTCCTGCTGATTTTCCTTCTCAAATAATTATTACCACAAGCAAGAGAAAGCGATGCCGTGATGATTTTAAAATCGAGGATTTTCAAGAAATTTACCTTCAACTCTATGTTTTATAGTTTCGTTAATTCATCGTTTGCGTCCCCTCTGATCAATGTACAGGGTTTAGGAGCAGCTGTTTGGCTATTAATTATTCACAGACATGCAGATATTCAAATTCGCATTATCCTTCGTGACCTATGTTTAACCGGACCCCTGCTATTTTCATAATTTATATAACTATAAACATGCAAGCAAAAGATCACGAAATTGCTGAGTCTAAAGGCTGATCAACAGAATATGGTTTTGCAAGTTATATAACACAAGAATTTCGGCACAATTTTATTGTTTCGTTAATTCGATGTGGCGACGTCCAGTTTAAACAGACAACTCAGCCTAAGAAGCATATAAATAATGGTCCATATTTATTGCTCACTATTGTTTTTCTATAGGTTTGGCAGGTATGTATAAAGAAGTCGTGTTCTGACATGTCTTCAACTTTAGTAAACTTTCTGATACATGATCATCCGAGAACCAGATGACACAAGTTAAACAGACGGCAACATCGTTTGGTAGCAAGCATTATTAGCGTGAAGCCAGACAATTCTAATGCTAAAAATTCGGCACAAAAAATGACTGGCGCTCTCACAGAGAACGATGCTATGGCATTTTCGTCGCGTGTCAAAATTGAAGTACAACAAAAGAGGTTAGTTTCAGGAAATAAATTTTTGTCGTAATTTTTTCGCGATACTGAAACATAGGGATTTTCTTTCCAATTATGCTAGTAATAAATATGGGGTTGTAGAACGCGACAAAATGATACAGGTGGACAATAATTTATAATCCACATAACAATGCACACACTTCGGGAGGTTTCTTGTCAATTCATATAAATAATAGTAAGAACATGCGTTTCTACCATTCAATTATAAAGTGGGAATATATATAAATATATAGTTTATGAAACGTGTCATAAATTGAAAGGCGAGAGTAACTTCCTTTTTCATCAACCTAGGCTCGCATGTAATTTACGCGCCGTGGTATGACAAAAGAGAAAATTTTAAACGGCATGATAGAAATTTTAAGCGGCTGACTGCGCTTTGCTTAACTTGTAATCGTACAAAATCAAGTCGCTAAATTGAAAAATCGTATAAAATCGTATATACAGACAAATCACTTAAAAATGCCTCCTGTACGTCTAACGATTTTCTTCGTTGTTCTAGAGAATATATATGTAGATAACCTCAATATTTGGTGCGTGCCAACCATAAATGATTTAAATATCTTGGACCCAGACCTATACTCTTTAGATCAATCGTATTGCGTAAATCTGAACTGGGACATGCGCAGTATATCATTATACCAAATATCTCTTCTGAGCTATATTGCAGCTATATTTTACTTAAAATGGCGTCAATGGTTTGCGAATATTGTCGAATTCTCCAAATTGTGTCAGCAATGAACAATATTGCGTGTTATTTCTGTTTGAAAGAAGAAGTGAGTAGGAAATTCTCATATAGTTTTCAGAAAATACATAATCTTTCGTGGCCAAATATGTGAATTAATGGTTTAATATGACGATTTCTAAATTTTAGTTGCTTAGATGGCTGGAGGAAAAGATGAAAAAGTAAGCAGATTTACTTGTATTCATGCATGTGATTTTAATCTTGTCGCAAGCTGACCTACACGCGGTTATCCAGAATATGTATATCAAGTATAGAATACTTTTTAGCTAATAATAAGTAGGTAGGAGCCATCTCTATTAACACAAAAAGTCGTCATTACAACGTAGGTATGCATGCATGTTTACGTTGAAGTTTTACGTTGGATTTGATTTCTGTGTTCACGGCGGAGAGGGTCCCTGAATCTTACTATTCTCTGACGAGAATCTTACTATTCTCTCGTCTCTCTGCAATTTCTTTTATTAAAAATTCTTACAATTATAAGGCAGGTCAGCATGCATTCCTACAGTTTCACAGTGAATTCCTTCATAATTTTTGTTTTAAATAATAGTTCAAACTTAAAGATTTGTGTAATCTCTAGGATCACTTTCAATGTTTATATGTATTATATATTTGCAGTGATTGGGATGGCCCCTTATTTCACAGTTTTAATGCGTTGCCTCGAAGTAATATTTCCAACACATGTAGGGGCACCATTATATTAGGATATATTGATCATTTGATCAACATGTAATATTGAATGTTGGAGTAAAGTTTCTTGGTGTATAACATTTCAGTTAGAAAACCAAAATAATCCGAATATTCTTTAACATATATGGTGATGTTTCAACGAACGCTGAATTACAAACCATCTTTAACACATCTCTAATTGCAACTCTGTATCATGACAACCTTGATTTCTGCAATGTGTGTAGAAATAATAATTTCAAAAACCGATTAATAACCCATGGGCACTGCACTAGATATATGAATTCTGAGACCATTCTAAAGAAATTGACCGTGGGGTATTTTTGAGAATCTTTGACTTGATTTCATGAATTCATCAATGCATTCCATATATACAGGGCAATATTTATGGAAAGAATCTAATTTTTCTCTTTGTGATGTGCATGGTCATCTCCCCAAGATTTTATCAGTAAAGAAACCTAGGTGGGAGGCAGTAATTCGTGGTGGTGGGGGTATGATTGTGCATGGTGGGGGGGTGGGTATGTGGATGGGGGCATACGTAGTTGCCCTCTAACTTATCTGTTAGAAAAGGCCAGCTAAATTCAATATGCATATATAACAAATGTTTTCTAAACATAAAATATCTAGATCAATTGGATTACGTTTGTTGGGTGTTAATATTTGAATTAAGGTTGAATAAATCCTAGCTTATTTGCAACATCAATTCATGTGCGAAGCGATGTAATCTTTTGTAGGTAGATATTTTTTAACTGTAATGTAATACCATTTAAAGCTTACGAGTTATTTTCGATGACATTCGAATAACACAGCTTTCCAACTGCCTCAATATGTTCATCACCATTGTATAACCACATAATCACAAGACACAATATGTTCAACGAATTAGATTAGGATATTTTTACAATCGCCTTTTGTCACAGTGCTTATACATTATTCTATTACTTCTATTTGTAGTTATCATATGAATAGTTCCAATAATTGTAGGCTCTTTTCTGCTGCAACATGTGTATTGTTGGAGTAAATCTCAAGTTGAATTCCTGAGAAAATCAAGAATATACTGACTTCTATAGAACATAGAACTAAGCCATCTTTAGTTTGAAGTTTTCTTCTCAATATTCTATTTTTTTCAGTAATCCTGCGAAAATTCATGATGAACTGTGATGGTTGTATATATAACAAGTCCATTAAAGACTCGTTGATGGTAAGTGTGGCAGTTTCAATGTGTACTTTATTGAGAGTTTAGGCCATCTAAGTTAAAAGTGATCGAAATATGCGCGAAGATTAGGTTTCTCGTATTAAGGCCCTCTTATATTATTCGTATATAAGGGAGCTTTTTCCAGTAGCGTCGCTGGCCTGACGATTTGTCTCGCCATGCGCACATTTTGGTGTTCCTTGACAGTGAAAACATTAAATTTCTAAAGACATGAATAATTATAGTAACTTGAAATTTACAAATGGGATTCCTTTACAAATTTATGCCTGTAGATATATGCAAGTTGGCGGCGTATCAGAACTATGTATGAGGGGTTGGTGCAAACTCTATAGCTTTGTTTTTTTTCTCATTTTAGGGAATCAAAGAAATTTTGAGAAGTAAATATTAAGAAAAATGTTCGTTGTTCGAAGGATTTTGGTGGGTTTTTTGGGGGTGTAATATATTATTTGATAACTAGCTATATACGTATAAGATAATACGATCTTAACGACCTCCCTATGCTAATGGTCGTATACTGCAACGGTTGCTTGAGCATACGACTCCTCAAAATGATGATTTTACTCAAGATTTGAAGCTGAAAAAAAACAAATCTTCTGAATTAATAACATTGTGCAAAATGTCTATTTCTCAGCTAGCTGTCAGATGCGTATGGTGAGATGCCAAAAGATAAGTTGCATAATGCGTATTCAAATATATGCAGAAGAAATTTTTTTAAAGACCAAGTTTCTGCGGTGTTTCGGAGGGGGATCGTTAAGACCATACTGATTCTACTTAAAACTGAAGAAAATGACATACAGTTCTAATATTACTATGTTCAAGAAAAGCGCATGAGCTAAAACAGATGAAAGACGATCGACGCAAAGCAAAAAATTGAATTTTAACCAATTTAATTTAAACCAATTTCATATATGAATGCAATGTAGCTCTTAAAATACGTACTTTATGGGCAGTTAAATCGTAGTTTGCTTAAGAAAAAAAGATTCTGTTCCGTGAATTTTGTCGTTTTTATGTAACTGGCGCAGATACGCATGTCTGTGTGATATCTAAAACCGCATGGTAGACAGTGGCGTATAGCCAGCCTGACGATTTTGTCCGTTTGTAAATTTCAAGTTATGTTTCAGAAATTTATCGTTTTCACAGTCAATAAACACCAAAATATTAGCATAGCGGGACAAATCGTCAGGCTGGCTACGCTACTGATGGTAGCCGAACAGCATTAGTATATATCTCTATATATATGTAAAGTTCAATTTACTTCGATTGTATAAAAAAACTTCCAAGTCGTCGTTTTCAACGAAGTCGCTGTATCGCTTTTAACGTATCCTCCTGTGCACATGCACAATCTCAACCCCGAGAACCGCGAATATTCCGGTAAATCCCCTATGTGGGAAGTATAAGTGCAACAAGTTTATATTGTTGATTACTTAAAAATGTGTTTGGCTTTGGTCGCCGTTTCAACGATCAATCTTGTTCTATCTTCTTCCATCTATGCACAGGATTTTTGAAGTGTGTAAGGATTTGTAATAAGGGTGTAAAAGTGGCATGTCTGATTTTGCTTCATGAACATACACAGTAGCTATAATCGCTAAGAAGCATATTTTCGTAGCAAAAGCTAGTCAGCAGAAAGAGTCGTCGTTGTCTCTTAACCATTTTACAAAAAATATTCCTTTCTGGGATCGAAACTGGGTTAAGTACCTTTAAACCCGGTTCTCATATGTCATGCATCAACAGTCGTCGGCAAAGGCGACGAATGAAACGTTTTGTTACTTTGTATAAATTGTTTTCGTCACCTGTCATGCATCGACAGTCGTCGCGATGTATTGTAATAAATTGATTAACAAGTCAAATTTTTCGCACTAAGTTCAAAGTCTGTATATAGTAACCATCAGCGGCCACTGAAATAGTGACGGACGAACTGACCTCACGACAGTCTTAGCTAAAAAGCTAAATCCTATTAAGGTCCTAAAAGCTAAATCGCTAAATCAAGGAGCGGGGCTATAAGGCCTTCTTAGCCCACCGGTCACCGTTAAGGCTTAGCTCTCTTGTCAGAAGAGTCGTTTTTTGGTTACGTAACAACTAATGAACTTTAACTGGAACTCCCATTTGGAGCTTTTACATTTCAATCTCATTCAAATTTAGGGGACTTTCCGGTGAAAGAAATTTTGAACGTTGAATATAAAAGTCGAATTTTCCCCCCAACTGAAAATTTTAAGCTTCCTAGTGCCAGATTATTTAATTTCTGTGAAATTCTTTGGTGTTGAATTAATATCGCCCATGAGTCTATATTGCGGGATATTTTTGACACTGAAGAACACTGAAGAACATAAGGCACTAGCGTTCGACTTTAGGTAGTGTTTACACCAAACCCCCCGCACATGCACATTGTTATGAGCAAAACCGATGCGCTAAACTGCCATTCTATTTGGATTGTTCGCAATCGCACTACGGCAGCCAATCATATACTAGTAGAGAATAAAGGTGAAACATTTAGTACTTAGAGCAAAATCAGAGAAATATGCTGTATCAATGTATGACCCACAATTCGATATTCGAGAATACTTCAGTGCACAACAAGCTAATCAAACGCTATACTGTAGTCTACCCGTCAACAAATACTTAAATTTGCACGTAGCAGGTGAGCGTGTTTTGCAGTCACAGTACAGTATGAGATTTTATTATATGGCAAGCGTCACTTCCGGTGAAATGGAGCTCAGTGATTGGCTGAGAAGAAATTTCAGCGGTCCATTAATTTCCCGTAATGGACCGGCACTTCTCCATAATGGAGCGGCGATCTATCAAGAGGTAAAAACAGAGAAATTCTGAATGAAAAAGGCACAAATAAATGCACAAGAGAAAATTTAATTGCTTTTGAAATTAATAAGACGTCTCCAGACAGTTTAGGTAAACTATAAATAACTCAATATTTTGTTTTTGTTTTTATCAAATGGGTACCAGGCTGCTAATAGGAATTCATGCATTTCTTGTTTGTTTCAAGTGCAAATACACCCTTATGCCATATAATAAACTTTTTATTAACCTCGCTTGCTCGTTCTTTACCAATCGAGAAATATCGGACCTCGATATTTTTGTGCAAACCTCACTCTTTGAGCTCGGTCTGTTCAAAAAGATCTCGGTCCGATATTTCTCGGCAAAGATTTTGCGCTCGGTTAATAAGAAGTTAATATACATAGCCCAGTAGGCAGTAAGATTTATGTACATATATACCGGGTGTCCTAAAAAAAATTCCCTTCTATTGAAATCATATCAAGCCTTTGTTAGAATCTGATTGCCTTAATATTATGATAAACCTAATTGAAAGCAAGACGATTTATTTGAATGCCTCTACCTAATAACTATGCTATATTTACACACTACTGCGTTGATCATCATTCATGCATTCAAATTCTAACAAAAGTTTCATTTCAAAAGGGGGGACGTTTTTTGAGGACACCCGGTACAACGACAACGCGTATTCCAACATTTTTTATTAGGTTTCAAATAGTCCTAGAGTCGTGCATGGAGCAGCGACGCTAGTATATTTTTTAGTTTTGGGTTTTTTTAGTTTTCATTTATAATTTAGGTACTGTATTATATCGTTGCTAAATCCAATTTATTTTCAGGCCAGTGAGTTATTCTCATTTGAATATATGATGAATTTATTTATATTCAACATTTTATAACAAACTTAGTAGACATAGCATAGATATAAGACCATGCAAGCCTATAGAATTAGCGCTGAAAAGCAACCTTTGAAAGTTAGTAGCCTGTTCAATTTTTATCGATTAATTTTATGATAAATTTGTGTCAAACAAGTTTTGTGTTTGTCGTTTCGATCTGCTCATTTTGAGTTTATTCTTCATAAATTTTAATTGGCTAATTGTGTGATATATATCTTATAGTTATCTTTCTGCTGTTGCGCAGATTAAATACTCGAGCTCGCGTCAAAATCTAGCTCATATTCGTCTAATTTAGGCTGAAATCACTGCGCTAAGAACCAATAATATTGCGGGAAACACCAGTGATCTCAAAATGAATATAGTAAAATTGTCATTAACCCCGCTCCCATTAACGATTAATTTGATCCGATTCTGGTTCATTCTATATCAGTGGCGTCACTAGCATCGATAAGTGGTTGGCCAATATTGTGTTTTGCTGAATGATATTTTTATTTATATGAAAATGCTGAAGGGTGTTTAGCAAGCATGTTTGAACTTGTCCAAGTGGGAAATATGACTTTCTACCTGTTTTCCTTCTTATTACAACCAGCATGAGAAGGCGATGTGATGATGTTTTAAGACACATGCCGGATTTTCAATAAAATTTTGCCTCCGATGCTACATCTCATACTCCGTTGCGTGTGGTTGTGGCCACTTCTGCTCGATTGACAAGATCATTTAGAAGCAGTTTGCCTATATTGAATATTTAAAAACACGTTTTTAGTCTAAATTGGATGTCATTGACCTTAGTGACCGACGTTCGACAAGATAAAACATGTTCAAAGCCACCCACCGTTTTCCTAATATTCAACTATACACAAGCAAAATATGACAGGGAGGCTGGATCTAGCAAGTTGCTCAGTTTAGAAATGAAATTAGTAAAGAAAAAATTTATGCGCAATTCCATGCAACGTGTTCGGACGTGTCTTAGACAATTTTCTTCCTGACCAATCAAGAACGTTAACGAAATTAAGAATATAGGATAAGACGGGCAAATGACAAGTTTGATTCGGAGAACCACTTGCATGCCAACACTGGTCGCGTGAATTTCATCATTCTTATGCTGAAAATTCGTAAAAACGACAACACAAAGCTGGCTCTCTCACAAAGATCGACGCGATGGCGCACTTTTTATGTGTACACATTTTCTTGCAACAAAGAAGGTACGTTTCTCACATTTTTCACGATAGAGTAGTTAATTTTCTTGACAATCATGCGAGCGAAGGGTTGTTAAAAAATAGCTTAAAGTGACCAAGAAAATGGCTCCTAAGGACATGGAAAGGTGCAGTTAATCCCGTTTCAGCACACTCAATTTTCTGGTACGTTAAGATTAAAATTGGTACCCGTATCCAATTTTATCCGTGCTAAGGCTGCCAATTCAAAGGTCGAGCTATGATAAAATTGGTACGGATACCTATTCTATACCCGTGCCGTGACAATTGTTTGAGTGCAGTGAAAACGGAAGTTTAATTATTTAAATATTCATCATTACACTTTTAATTGCGCATGCATGCACATACGTTCTTTAAGGTTTCTGGCATTTTATTTGGTTTTCTTATATTTATATCAACTATATTAAATTTTGTACTCGTGCCAGTGGTATCAAAGTGGCGAAGAGAGCAAGTTTAATAAACGTGTGATGGATGTATTCTAGCCGGTACGCTGATTGATGCGCCGCGGTATTTAAAAGAGTATTTGATTAAAGTTGGCCGAGTAACGTCACTACGGGTGCGTCTTGATTTGATAATTGCACAACACCAAATAAATTGAATGTTTTGCGATAAAAACTGGTTACAACCGAGTTCAGAAAAATCACTTGAAAATTTTTGTTGGCTGAGCGAATAAAATCAAGCCTAATTTGGGAGCGTGCCTCCATATATAGAACTTATGTTTACTACATTAGCTTGCTTACACTTAGGTTTGCTACATTAGACCCAGACCTCGCTCGTATTCTGGGGTCTGCCAAGTCTTTCTACTTCCTCTTTAAATTTAAATTAAAATTTAAATTAAGAATATGTGTGAATTGTGCGACTTTTTTGAAATGTTATCTGGAATAAATGATATAATATCGCAGTTTTACCAACGGAATGAAGTAAGGAGGAAAAATTGCAATGAAGTTTTGCAAAAATGCAAAATGCATTTGTACATTACATAATAAATTTATTTAATGATTTCTATATCTTTAGTTCATCAGATGGCTATGGCACCTTGAGGACAGCCTGAAAGAGTAAGTTGAGCGCCGCTATGTATAATATGTACGCGTTGTGAATTTTCAGTTGTTTCAGTTGTTTAAAGCTGTTGTTCAACATATTAGGAAACGTTCGAAATTTCTTTAAACATGAATACTTGGGACATGTACTTCCTTCTTCAAATGATGCTTGTGCTGGTTAGCTTTAATATTGCATACTTGCATTTATCCGTGAAATTATATTTAAACGTGCTAGACTAGAATCAAACTGAGTATGGAACAATTGTGCAGACATATAAACCTAGACGTGGTATTAATAACCTTATATCACCAATTTGGTGGCATTTTCTTACAACGTATACAAATATCTTACAAATTCCTGCATGCATTTTTCATTTAAAGGTAGTGAATGCATGGAAATACATGTGTATACTTTATAGGTTACTTGTAACCTTTGCAGTGAACAGATATGCCTATCTACGGAATAACATTTTCAATCATAAAAACAAAACGTTTGCTGTGTTACGTTAAACAGCAAGTTGTGTGACCACAACTTTGCACTTGTTCTACGGAGTAACATGTAGTGTGTTCGGGAACAAAAGGATATAAAAGAGGATTTAAAAAAGGATAAAATGTGATGCAATTTTCCTTGCATTGTGGAAGCCCTACCTTGTACCTCGCTGGAACGTCTCTAATACAGACAAGGGAAATTCATTTATTATTTTTATAGCTTTTGTCCAAAAATTCCTGATGAACTCTGATGCATTGTAACAACTTCTCAAGACTTGGTGATAGGTAAGTGTGGAATAAATGTACGATGGATAGGTTAGGCATTCTGTAAACCACAAAACTCTACTTAAAAATTTAGGCAGTTGATTGTATATAGCGAAAATATTTTTCATCATGTTGCTAGACACATAGCTATATAATTTGGAATAAAATATATGTTGTGGAAACTCAACCATACACCTTCAATGATGGAAATTGTGTAAAATTTGTTATCATGCAGTTTATTTAAAATGAGTTTGTTACTTTGTTACGAGTGCAAAGTTTAGAACATTACAGTTGAAAGACCGAATCAGTGCTAAAAAATGCAACTTAGTGCCTTCGACCGAACACATGCCTTTGTAATTTCTGTGCATTGCTCTCAAGCCTCCTTGTGTATCATATTTCATACGTCTTGCAGCGTCCTGATATTTTCCAGCAGGTTAAGTTTCTATTTACACAAAAATAGCGGGAAATTCATGCCGAAAAAAAACAGATCTCCGAACTCTCTAAAATTTTGTTTCGCTTGTTTTCTCATTTAGAAAATCATGTTATGCAAACGAAAAAAGAAGTAAAAAAAGCAAATAAAACAATTTAGTGTTGTATAATATCTTATATGTTTTAGTATACTTAGTCAACCTGCACCGCAAGTACGAGCGAGTGGCCCTTTTAACTGAACGAGAGTACGGTTCACATTCGTTCAATTAGAAGGTTTCCATTTGATAATTATCATATTTTTTTGTTTCCTCTAAACGATGCGTGAATTTTAGCAATGCAAATGAGATTTTGTGATATCCTGTACACATACATGACATGTAAATATAAAAGTAATTAAAGTAACTAGAGCACATCCTCAACATAAGCTTGTGGCACAATACAGAAATATTTTCTTGATGAGGGCATTGATTTATTAATTACCCTGATGAGGCATAGGAACTTTACCCGTATACCACCCGTTAAAAATTGTTTGGTAAGTCATGGAAGAAAGCATAATGATGAGGATGATGGTGTTGGTGCAATAATAGGTCTGTTTGCTTAGCTAAGAAAACAAACCTATTTTAGGGCCCTCATTGACACCAGTGATATTTCAATGATGAGGTCACCCTACGCAAATGAATAAATAAATGTGATGTGATTTTCTTCTTTTCAGTGCGCTTGTTCTCGTTTTGCAATAATTTAAAATAATTTCGACGCAAATTTTAAATTTATACGAGTATATATGTGATTAGTCCATAAACTGTATACGAGTTTGAGGAACTGCAATTATGCACACAGAATAAAATCAAAATCAGCAAGTCTTCCTGGTCTAAAAGCTTCACGGAATAGTTTAGCTGGACTTACGATAGCAGCAACCTTTTCGAGAAGACGATTGGAGATTTGATCTTCGAAATTTCTTGCACTAATTTCTCCAAAACATATTACAACTACATGGATCTTTCCAAGAAGTTATTCATTTGTCTGGCTACCTCCACCTTACCTTTAAAGGCTCTTTTCAGAAATCATATATTTGCAGCAACACCGTTAGATCATTTCACCGTACACTTTTCTTTAACAAATTTCAAACAACATTCTGGTCAATACAACATGCGGCAACTTTAAAGTGTATATGAAATGTCACAACGGTCTCCAATGTCTTTATGGATTGTTGTATTTCATGATTTGATTTATTTTTAAATATTTCTAATACGAAATTTTGAGAAGAAAACAAAAAAATTGCCCTCAAAAGTATCCTCGTTGAGGTGATTTTGTCAGTTATGCGCATGTGACGTCACAGTATGGATCAAATTACTCTTGTGTTGTTATATAAGCGTTTAAGCATAAAACAGACGAAGTTAGACAAAGTTTTCGTCAAAGTAATCCGTTTATTCATAATGTCTGAGTCGAACACTAGTTCCATAACATCCACTGATGTTAGCGATTAAGCTGCAGATAGTTCAAACGATAGGGAAGTAGATATTGGTTCAATAGAACCTTAATACCAATCATAGCAGCGCCAGCGAGTCTGAAAATCTGTGAGAATGACCACCATGACAACATCCCAAGAAAGGACAATATCTGTACAAGATTGGCAAGTTTAATATTTTTAATGCCACATCAACAAGACCACTATTTCATTTTAATATTTACAACGTTCCCTCATGTTAAAGAGATTTTTAAATAGGGTTGTGTTAAACGTAAAATCTAAACGTACCCATTTTTTCGCAAAAATATCTCAGGCATTTCAATATTCAGTGAAGATTGATGCGTGATAGTATGCCCAATACTGAACCTTTGAAAAATATGAAATAATGGATGGGAGACAGAGCTTCCTAATGCCCCTATCACGCATAAATCTTCACTAATATTGAAATACCTCAGAAATTTTTGCTAAAAAATAGCTGTGTTTAGATTTTACGTTTAACAGAACCCTATTAAAATAATCTCTTTAACAAGAGGGAACATTGTGAATATTAAAATGCCACAGTGGTCCAATCTTGTTGGTGTGGTATTAAAAATATTAAACTTATATTAAACTTAAAAGCTCTATCGAACCAATATCTACTACTCCATCACTTGAACTATCTTCCACTGAATCGTTAACATCAGTGGATGTTATGGAACTAGTGTCCAACTCAGACATTATAAATTAACGGATTACTTTGACGAAAACTTTTTCTCACTTCATCTCTTTACATAAATGCTTATATATAAAAAACAACACAACTAAAACAACACGACTAAAACAACACAAAAATATTAAAAAATTATCAATATTCCATAAAAACATTGGAGACCGTTGTGACATTTCATATACAATTTACTGTATTTATTAATATGCAGCGTTTTATTGCAGCGTTTTATTTTACTTTACCAGAAAATAGAAAGTAATTAGTTTGCAAATGAAGCAATGCTTCCAATTTATATTGTTTATATTAAATAAAGCTTTATCAATTCCACATACCTTCTGCAATTGCAATGCAAATATTTTTCTCCTGAATACCTTTTAATATAAAAAGCGAAAATGAATATGTCAATTTGGTTTCATTTTGCGTCCGAGAACTTATAGATCGGACTTAGTCATGCATGATCACTAAACGACCTTTTATCATTTCAGCAAAGAAAACATATTACTCAGAATCATTACTTGACGATTATTAGCGTGTGAGGCCTTTTTGAGTAGTAGAGATTTGTTGTCAAGGTGTTTGTTTATTCAACGCTGTGCATTGTTTTGACTGCTTTGCTTAGCAAAACAGAGTCAGTGTTTTCTGAGAAGAGTTTCTTTAGATTACCGTGTGTAGACATCTTAACCAGAAATTCAGGACATTAATTACCATGAAAGTTCATATATAATGCCAGGATTCCGCAGTCGAAGATGGCTGCCTTGTTATAATAGAATGATATAAGGCACGAGACAAAATTTTAAATTAAAGCAATATTACTTGTAATATAGTGGTTAGTTGATGAAATTACATTACTGGGGAACCTGTTAAAGGTAATAAAAAAAATTTCATAAAAGTACTGAGTTTCTGCCCGTCTTAAATCCGTCCGCAACTGCAATATATAAGATAGAAGTTTCTTTAATTTCAAATTTAGTCTGGTGTTTTATATAACTCTATAATAACAAGGCAGCCATCTTTGATTGCGAAATCCTGGCATCATGATAATCAATGTCCTGAATTTCTGGCAATATTAGGGTTCGCTTTGAGGAGAAGTCCAAAAAATCTGCCAGGTCCACAAAAGTCCAAAAAATTTGACTTTATTGCCTGAGCTTATTTAAATCTGCAGATATATTAAGGCTGAGTAACCATAAAATAATATTATTAGAAGGTGTTGACCAATCCTGTATAATTTTGCATTCAAATATCTTTATTGTGCTTATATACTCAGTCAAGATAAAAAAGGACTAGTCAAATGATTATGGAAAATGATTTACTTTATCTTTATAAAATAGCTGTATGCATGTTCTCGGCAGTATGACTGAAATTATTTTAAATTTAAAATATTTTTCTTAACTTATATCGTGCCATGAATTGGATTTGTGTGGAGGACTCAAGAGAATGGCTTTTCTGTGTTGTTAGCCTAGATCCACAGCTGCGGAAACGGAGAAACCTTTGTTCAGCATTTCTTTTTGGACAAACGTTAAAGTGGTCTTTGAAAAGACAGGAACTGCTTTTACAAGTCCCTCTTCAATTTTCCGTGCAAGTTTGCAATTGAATCATAATAAATCTAGCAGAGCCAGACCAACATGATGTACCACCACTACCTTCTCCTTGTCTGGTCAAGTTCTTAAATGTTGTGTAATAATACATTTTGTCAATCTGTCGGTCAAATTATTTCTAAAATTGGTCGTTGTTTTGTATATAACCTTAAAACCAGGGGCGCCGGAATATCGATAATAACGGGGGCAGATATTCATATATTCGTGTTCTGCATTATTAACTCCTTTTGAAATCGATTGTTTTTACGATCTGCGAACACGAATATATGAATATCTGCCCCCGTTATTATCGATATTCCGGCGCCCCTGCTTAAAACCTTGATTAAACTTCAATATTCCTATACTGTGGGTTCTCTTTAATAATTGTTTGCTAAATTCCATAGTTTTGCTGCTTTTTAAGCATTGAAAAACTCACTACTCCGTGGATAGAACTATCCAGCTTGCAGAGGAAGACATCGTGACGGTTGCCTGCCCGCTCGATCAGACATTGCAGAATTCCTGTAGCATCCGACCACGGCCATTCTAAGAATGCAATACTTAGATTAGCATCTTTTGGCTGTTTAAGTTTAAGTCTTAATATTTTTGGGTTTTTTCCCTACAAAGAGATCCATGAGTTGCTTTGTTCCACTTCCAAGAGTTCTTCATGCCAACTTTACAATGGGAAGCATCCAATGACCAGGGTGGAGTATTTGACTTTAAAATATTTTACTGTAGGTTTATGGGCTGTGTTAAAATTGAATTTTCTCGTAGTTTATCAGAATGGGATTAATCGGATTTTTACCCATTGATAAAGTGTTGTTTTTTCAATTCTTTACGTGTGAATATTTAAATTGCTAAGGATTAAATCCTGTAATTTGAATTAAAAGTACGTCACCTTGGCTAACGTGCAAAGCATCGTTTTTCGGGTTGAGACGTTAACTTCCTTATCCTTAAAAGGCTTTATGCACGAAAACACTCTTTATAGATGCAGAATATTTTTGGCTTTGCTCTGACACTGTTTCTTATTTTATCAAGATCTGTCGAAGTTTATCGAATAGTGTGATTTTATTCGATTCATCGCAAAGTGCACAAGATTCATAGAAGTCCTGTCCATTTAGATGCAAGCCGTTTCATTAAAACTCTTTAATCAGGATTTAAAGTAAAGACTGGCTAATTATTAAATCGCTCATGCCTTAAAAACAAATCTTACCGGAAGAGCTTGACTTTTTTACAGTTGAATCCACTTCCGCTGGAAACCCGATGAGAAATAAATTCTCCTAAGTGGCGTCGATACTTGATTGGGTAATTCTTCGTACGGCTAAATTCTGATTGGTTGCCCTCACAGGCGTCCTTTGGTCTTGTTCATGCTCGGAAATTTCGACATAACATCTGTAAAGGCGCTTTCTGGGCAATATCGATTAAAACTCAACAATTTCAAGACGTTTGTGGATTGGTTTTCGATAAACACGCGTTTGAAAGAAAAGAAGTAGGTTTGTAATTCTTTTTAAATGTTTAACTCCGTTGAAAACTCGTTCGTTTAAGGAATTCGGGAACATATTTTATCGGCGCCATGTTTAACTTGTCACAGCAACATTTGAATAAATTTTAACAAACAAAACGCCTTTTACCTGTGGTGAGCGCAAAGCCGTCTCAAGTGGACGGAATAGTTATTGCGAAGATTTCATAAATTTTCTGTCGCGTATTGCTGTTACTTTAAGAGTTTAGGTTTACTTTTTGCTCACAGTGAAATTTATTTGTGAATACTATTGGTAATATTGTGCCTTTTAGTTGTTGTATAGTCCGTATTCATTTGTGGCTGCTGTATTTTTTATCGCCAAATGTTGTGTGGACTGTGAGATATATTTCCAATTTAAAACTTTGAATTGCCAGTTTGGCGAATTTCAATATCTCTAATCTCCTTGTACCCGCATTATTTAAAAACATTTCGCTATACGTCGGCGAGAGCAATTATACAAAATCTGTTTCTTTCAATTTTTTGGAGCGTATGTAAATACATGCACATATGCACATGTGCAATGCTTGAAAAGGTTTTGTTGGACGTCGTGGCCGTTGCTATAGTATTGATTGCTTTGTTTTTGCCGTGTAAAGTATTTTGCTTTATTTTCAACTTCATTTTTCGGTTGGTTGATCATATCTCAAGTAAACGATTCGGCTAATCCGTTCATACTGTCATATATTGTGTTGCTAACCCATATCATGGCAATGCTATCGTGCGAAATGGTTTCTCTGTTTACTTTCCCGTTGCCCTACGTGCGTTGTGCTTTAAGATCAAAAGACTACGACCCTGTGTGTTTAATAATAATATTAATGCTTTTTTACAACCGTTCTCGTTGACCGCCAAGCAAGGGAGCGATTAGAACGATGATATATCTAACAGTAACACTTATTTATTTATTGTCATCGGCATCGCCATTGCGCAAGACTTTCAAGTTATATATTCTTTCTATCAACTCCTTTATCGATAAAATCAGACACAATAAACGCTATATCGTATTCGTTCAAAGCGGAAGTACGCAGCAGCTACGGAAAGCAGCTTGTTTTGATTAGTACTTACTCTATTCGACCGTAGCTTATTGGTCCTCAGGTGTAAGTGACAATAACTTAATAATTTAAAGCGACACAAATACAGCCGCGATAATTATTTCAAACTGAATCAGGAGTATCAAATGCACTCAAATCCCCAAAGACCAAATACGGTGATGGTTTATGTATGAAACCAAGCCAGGTTTGGCTGGTAATTCGTCACTGTGCCTGTGGATTCGAGGCTTGAGTATGAAATAAATGTAACCAAAAGTCAGGAGTATCCGCTTTAGGTGCTACATTCCAAAATCGCCGACTTTTAATGGCGGGCGCGGGCGCGGGCTATCGACGACGTCTCAAGTCCTGTGGGATTTTAATCGTCCATTTCCTTTGCTATCATGAATCACATTGTATTATCAGCCGTCGTCAACTACGTTCCCGTTCTAAATGTTCGGCTTGCTAAGAATATTATTATATATGCTTACGTACGACACGTCCGAATGGCTTAGCCTTAGAAATATTATTACTTCCGTTTGCTGTAACTTTGTTCCCTACTGCCGTCCCCACACCTTCGCAAATATTGACGCTGTTTGCACGATTTCCTCTTTCATCGGCAGATTCCATTCAACCATTTCCCCTAAACGAATTATCTAGCAAAAACAATTATAGTTTTACCCTTATGACCTCTTGTGTGAAACTTTTTTAATATTAGATATATTATCGACCATTTTCAATTTCGACATTGAGTATGCTGTTTTGGCACTTTGCTTTATATTATTGCGGTAATTTCTATTATTTCGGAGCAAATAAATGCAGACACTCTACGGCAAATGAAGAGCGCGGTGAGAACTAATTTGTATGACAGTAAACATGGCGGTTAGATTGGACATGGCAGCTGAACCGAACAAAATACCATGTGACCTAGGCACTGCATGGGTCCTGAGCAACATAAACGGAGAATAATTGTTGTAGTATGCCTCTTGCCCATTAGAAAGTAATAGTATAATTAGAAAGGACAATATATGCAAATCCCCTTCCGCTCAAGTCTAGCCACAAATCGTGTGTATATACATAGGTTTGTTGCTCTCTTTAAATCCACGTAAATATTGTGCTTAAAAGAACAAAAACTCGGCGAAAACGTCAAACCACAATTTCCCTGAAACCAGCTAATAAAAATATTTTACTTCACTGAAAAACAAAACGGTAACTTATTTCGATGTAAACATTCCAGGCATATTTTTTTGTTTGATTTTGGGTTTGTATGGTGGTTTTCGTTTGCTCCGAAAAATCCATATTCTGAATCCTATGTAATTAAAGTTAAACTCGATTTATCTATTTTCATCATTTTTGTTTATTTACAAAACGGTGAAGCTTTATTAATTAATTGAGCATTAATGCCTTCATTCGCCATTTGAACGCCATTAATATATATTTCCTGAGGTTATTTTCAGTAACCCTAGCCAGGCCGGCGGCAATTTAGTCTAGTCAAGTTAATATTATCGTTGTAACGATGTAACCGAATATTTTTGTTTTTGTTCAGAAAAATTAGAATACTCGTTTAATTTTAACTTGTCTACATCCCAGCGAGATAAATAGGGATGGATCCACAGCAGTCACAGCAGGGCAGGGTTTTTTTGGAGGAGGGGGGGGGTGCGGAACAGTGTCGGGCATGGGTTTGTATGTTTCGAATACACCTATATGCTTATAATTGGTACTGATTTTCGTACATCATAATCCTCTAAATTTGAAATGATAGCTAAATGGGAAACCTCTACTCTCCCTGCACCTCCCAGTAAATCCATTCTGAATAGAAATTTCTAAGCACTAATAATTGCTCAATAATAATGAAGTTTAGATGTCGCACTTAACGAGTACACTCATGCACACACTGCTAATTCAAACTGAAATTTCAATTATGCATTATACATTATTCATACACTTTACTAACGAAAAGACGCGTAGCCTGTCGTCCTTTGGTCCTGCTGTGATAATATTTTGCTATTCATTGATTGTAAAAACACCCAAATTTTGAATTGATGAATGCATAATAAAAGCACTAAAATTTGCATGGCAGGACTAAATCGCCAGGCTGGCTACGTCCTGTTGACCAAAGGTGTCATGTAATAGTCAGACTTTGTAAATTCGCAAATCAACCTTACGAACTGCGACGTACGCCTAAACTAGAAAATAAAAATGGTAGTTGATGCTTACGCAATGCTTAAATGAAAATGAAGAAAAGCTTTAGGCAATCAATGAGCTTTCCAGTTACCGTATCAGTTTTATTTAAGCTTAAACTCGCCCATATCTATAATTTTAAGAAGCCACCCAACGGCTATGAAAATTTTGATCGACAGACTTGCTCCGCTTCGTCTCGGATATTTGGTTGTGTCCGTCGGCGTTAATTTTCCAGTGTTAAAGGTCGACACAGACCGGGCGCGAATTGGCAACGCGGCGCGAATTTACAACGTTTTTAATTTTTCAAAATCAAATAAATTTTAAACTATCATAATATTCTTGTAGATTACATAACAATAAAACATTTTGACTGCTGTAGCGTCCATAGTTTCCAAATTTTACTTCCAGAATTTAATTTATATGCTTCTGAAAACTCAAAATTCGCGTCGCGTTGCCGCATCGCGTCCGGTCTGTGTCGGCCTTAATAGACCTTCCCCTTTTATCTGTGAAGCGCGCAATGCGTGACTGTAGTTTATTATCGAGATCAATTTAGTCGTGATTTCGCCATGTTCAGGAGCGATTTAGTTAATAAAGAAGCAAAAGGAATTGACAAGGTTTTCTTACAAACAAAATCGCTTCTATAGCCCGTTTTCCACTTAGCGAATTTATTCGCGAGACGCGGAAGCGAAATCTGAAATCTAGCTTCGCTTGCGAAAAAATTTGCCGCGAAAAAGTAGAATCGCTTCCTATTTTTTATCTGTTCGCGCGAGCAAATTCGCCTAGTGGAGAACGGGCTTTAGCAGAGCGATGTCGCAAATGAAAGTTGCTTGATGATCAACTACCATCATGCATTGCACGCTTGAAAGGTAAAAGGAGAAAGGTCTATTGCGCGCAGTAGCGAGCATTTGTCTGACAAATTTAATTACAAACTATACTTCTTCAAACCCCAGAACTGATTAGCAAATCATTGGTAATGTTGAATTCAACTACATTCCGGTTGCCGGATCAGTGGCTTTTTTGTACATGTAAATCAGCAACTGGGGAGATATTGTCATTGGCATTGTCCTTGCTCGTTATCGCTGATCTTATGATACACTGGATAGCGAAGCACGCAGATTTCATGAATTTTAGAGCCCAAATATATACACAATCAGTGATATATGATGTTTATTTAATTATTCAAACATTTTTTAAATGAAAATCGATAAAATAAGAATATAGGCAGTTCAGTGTAAATTTGTGTTAATGCCCATTTGCAAGATACAATTAGTCGCATTCCATTCTTACCATGACTTATTTGATGGAATAAATTCGCGTGCAAACACTGTGGTTTTTGTTTCGCCAGCTGCGTGCAAACGAAAATGTGGCATTAGCACTCAATATCATTTCGTCAGAGTGACAACCGTATACAACTGATCGTATCGTGTAAATGGGCTTTGCGGGTACTCGAGTAAGTACAAATACGATTTGAAAGTATATTAATTATAGAAGAAATAAGGCTGTGTTGTTTATGTATAGACATCTCTGACGCGAGTGTGTATGTGTCGAAATGTTGTGTACAACATTTAATTGATACGTTTTAGCTATTGCGGTCATTTTTGATGTTATATTTTTTGTATAGCGATGATATAGCCTGGTTCTCTTTAATCACCAACAGTCAGTGATGTATTTTGGGTGGCCGGTGAGGAAGAAAATTTATTTAAAATAACAAATCACTTTATACTCCAGTGATCACCGGCGGGCAATATCATCACAGACGGTCGGTGACCAATGAGAACCAGGCTTTAGGTGCGAGAAAGTGGCATTGCTGTTTTGAATTGTATATTAAGACAATTCAGTTGTAAATATTGACTAGACAATCGTGTTTATATACATTATAGTTGCTAAGGTATATGAACCAGCAAACCATGATAAAGTAATGCATTCTGTTTTGATGCCATTTTAATAAAAATACCATACATTAACCTATAAAGCAACCTCCACGCAGTATACGAATTGTCAGAAGTGTAACTTGCTAGACTGATGGCTTCCTGTGAATTGTTTAGTATTTCTGCCATTTTTTGGTAATATTTTGTAATTTTGGCTTTTAGTGGATATAAATTAATAAATTTATTTTTAAATGAATTTTTATCTCTGCGGATGCCAAAACAGTGAAATAGGTCACACGGCAGAGAATAAAAGCAATGACGTAATGACAAATGTAAAATATCACGAAATAAACACTTGCCAGCAAGATGGCTGCCTAAGCCTGCCTTGGGACATTTTTATTGCTAAGATGGACATTTTTATCTACGCCTCAACTCTAGTGGATATGATATTCTAAATTTTTAGGCTAGTAAAATAGGTTTTTATTTTATTTCGTGATCATGTGGTAAAATTTAGCTACTTTCCTCAACACAAATGGGAATGAGAAGGGAGGACAATTCTGATGCCCAGTAAGTCTTGGATAAATTTTCTATCAAAAGTTCATTGCACTAGTTAGTACTAATTTGCCGGGGAAAATTAGTCGAAAACTACTTGAGCTGTCCTCTATGCTGAATAGTGGTACATTTTCGATATGCCAGCAAACTAAGAAAACGGACAGGAAAAGAAATCAATAAATATTGTATCGACGGATATAAAAAAGTTGTTGTATAACATTATTTGAACTACCTTTATACCAGTTGAGAAACTAATGTTGTAATTTTTCCTGTGTATGAAATCAATACTGCTGATTCTTTAGAAATGGTACCATATCCAGTTCCGGCTCTGTGACTGCTTTTTCATTATATTACTTTTTGATGCTAAAAGGATCTCAATTATAACAGTAAATATTTTTTATCTTATGAAAAATGATATTCTCAGAATTCCACATTTTGCCAATAGTTCTTTTATTCATGCAAAATATGCGAAAAGCAATTTGAATTATGCTGGACTAATACATTTGTGTATTTGGTTAATATTTTTAATGTACAGAAACTGCAATATACCACATGCAGCTGTATTTTAATTAAGTATATGATTGGCAACGAGTTATAATAATGCTAAAATTTAGTAATGCTAAAAGTATATTAGATGTTAACAACAAATACAGTTTTTATCTTCTTATAATTATGCAAAGCAAACAACGATGTAATTGTTATTTTGCACCTGCAAACTGATAATTATACCGCTGTGTTTTGCTAGACTCAATAGTGTAATAACTGAGATAGTCTGCCCTGGTTATAACAAGTGATTAAAATTAGATACATATCAATTGAGAATTTTTAGTTTTATTTTCCAAAAGATAACGCTTTATTAGAAAGCTTTTCTGCAGTAAAGCGCTTCAGTTCACATGCAAACACATTTTTTTTAATTAGGAAAGAATTTACCGTGCTTTATATAGAAACATAAAAACTCCATATAACATAATAAAAGGAGTGGTTTTCCTTTCAAATTTAGAAGTTTTAAAATCAATCGAAACCTTCAACAAAAAATGTCGTTGGACTTGGTTGTTAATGACATTTTAAGGCAAGCACTTATTCTGGCAGACACACCCTCTCAGCCTTCTATCCCCCCTCAAGCAGACCTATGCTACTGTAAAACAACCTATTGGCGAGCTTCTTAATTTAATTCCATCTGTCACCACTGTGTGGAGCGCTTAAGTGTTTTAGTTTCTTTTGGTAGTTCAGTTGGTAATTTTTATGTTGTGACTAGTTTCATTAACAATTTCTGTTTATAGAAGCCTCAAATTTCTCCAATCGTATTAACTTGTTGTGTCAAAACTTTAAAAACATCCAATAATCACGACATCGAGGTCGACATCTCGTGTCTGAAGACGTCATCCTTGAAAAAAGTATGTTTACCCCCATTCCTTACTTCACCAAACACTTTCCTGTGGCAAAAACGTCATAATTAATTCGTTAACAATTTCCGATCTTCAAAACTGATCTCAACTAACGCTGTCACGATTCTAAAATCAAATAAATGATGCGGGTAAAAACATCGAATAATTAAAAATTATTGCATGAGGTTGAGTGTGATATCGAGAATTATCAAGCCGAAGTTTGCGTTACTTTACGAGCGGTCCGTGAAACCCATATCCGGACCGTGGTCCGTATATTCCGTATCGGGACCTCACTTGTTTGGTGTGTTTTGTGAAGTATCAGACCGATATTTTTTGCATGAATCTCGTTTCTCGTCGCTTGATCCATAGCAAAAACCTCGGGGTGATATTTCACAGCGAGGTCAATATTCAGTTAATATATACGACACAAGGAACTAGCTCTTTATCGTTTACTGGATTGTCCATGTGGCACGTATACAACGAATTATATTTTATATAGCCTGAGCATAGTTTTACAAAGAAGCGTTAATTTCAGCTCAACTTTTCTGGCTTATTTTCTTGTAATGTATTAAATATTGATGTTTGCTTTTTAGAGAAAGATAATGGAGTTGTCAAAACTTAGCATCAACTTGTTAGCGAAAGAAAAAATACGTCGTAGATTTTTCGATAACTGTTCAGCAAAGAGCAAAGCAAGCGATGAGTTGGATAGTTCCGACAACAAATTGCATAAAGATTCAGAGACCAGCAAGGAAGAAGAGGCGTACAAAGTAGAGCAAGAAATAGATGTAATTGACGTCCCTCGATTTGATGAAGAAGCGTATCCTAATGAAGACAATAGTTTGCCTTTGATAACTTCGGTTTTTTCATTGGCATCTAACAGTGGAAAAGAGGATGAAGGGTGTGGTTCTGGTGATAAAGTGTTTCTACACGGTGATCAGATGGAAAACGTTGAAGGAACTTCACCAAGGCTACCTTGTATTTCTTCATCACAGGATGTTCTTCGATGTAACCAGGATAATTTGCCATTTGTTGTTAAATGCAGCCCAAGTGGTGTGATAACGGTTTGTTCCTCACCTAACCTAATTTCCAATTCTAACTTTAATGTGGATAAGGATTCATCTTCGTTAGCACCAAGTGTTAAAAGCTCCTTTAGCAGAACAGAATCGCAGGGCATAGCGTCATCAAGGGCAGATCAGCAGTTGCTTGACGGTGTTACCGCTGGCTCTCTGTCTCTGTCGGGCACCTTTTCAAATCCAAATGTGGTCACATTTATTGATGCTACACGACAAATTGTTACCCCTGCAGAGCAGCCTTGTATACCAACGGGCAAGAGTGAAAGAACATCGGAAGGTTCAACACGAAATCCTACGTCTGGTCCACGTACTGACGTACTTTCAAACATACAACGGACAGAGGAAGTGACAGACGATTCGGGAACTTTAAGCATACTTGAGTCTAATGAAACAGAAGAAGACCAAGACAATGGTGCTCGTCCAAGTTCTTCACTGAGTGATACATTGAGTGATAAAGCAGCGATTAAGGAATCCAGCGCTGATGAGGTATATATTGGTCAGCAAGTTCCAACAAAGCAAGAGGAAAGAATTCGTCAACTTAAAGATTTACTTCGTCAAAAGGAGGTAGAATTAGAAAAGTTTCGTTTCAAAGGTAAAGCTGGACAAGTTTCAGCGGCTGCTAAATTGCGTGCAAATTTTCTTAAAAAGAATCCATCTTTGTGTCGGCGAAGTCTTAGGCTAAGTACAAAGGAAGGAAGTGAATCGGGTGGTACGTTTTCAAGAGAGGCGGTGGGCGATAATGAAATTGGATTAGATAGAAATGATCTCTCAAGCGCGGAATCGATTACTTGTCAGTCTGAGACAAAACTGACCGACGAGAAAATGTCGGAAAAATCTGATTGTAATGATTCAAACACTTCGAAAAAAAGTTGTGATAAATTTAATGACCAAGACAAATATAAACTCGTAAATGTCACCGTTTTACAAGGCCACATAAGAACATTGGCCGTGCCGTTACATGAAAAAGCTGTATCTCAAAAAACGGATACACAGAACAGTCTTTCTCTCTTCAGTAAAGAAAACATTACAACGACAAGAAAGAGAAAACAGCAGATGCCTAGAAAGGTTGGACCCCGTCGTTCAAAACGGAAGTCTAACAGCGAGGAGGTCAGATTCGACCAGGCTAGATCAAGCCTGAATAGAAAAGAAGGAAATCAATCGCCTAAGTCTATCCTAAAAAGAAAATCCTGTAATAACATAGGGACTCAAGATGGGCCAAGTGCACCAAAAAGAGAACAAAGGAAAACATTTCCTGCGCTAAAACAGGGAACAAGTGTTTCGTCATCCGGTACGCCTGTTAGCTCTTTGGCACTGCCAACAACACGTGCAGAAAGTCAAACACAAATTGGTTCGTTGCTCACGCCGACTGCTATGCCGGCATTATCGAATCTGAATGGAAGTGTCTCTTCCAAAAACGCACCCGAGATTAAAAATGTAAAGTCAACAACACATGTAAGGATAACTCCAGTATACAGCCCCACGACTATAACACAAGATCCCATAACCCCTACTAAACAGCAGACAAGAACTAGTACAACTAGAAAAAATGTTGCCTGTGTTCTTGATATGAATGGGTCAGGGCAAAGCAGCCAGGAAGGAAATAGTTTAGTTTCCCTCGCTACTGATCTGTTGAAGCGTGTGGCAGAAAATATTTCAAATGGCAAGCTGCCAGAGGACAAAACAGGATGTGAAGGGGATTTCAAGGTTAATAATTTTTCTGGTGCTAGTCACGTTACATTGACCAAAACCCAAAGTAACCTTGAACCAGTGACCACCCAAAATACGGGTAAACCGACAGTCATTCCTCCAAAGGTTGCAAGCAAAATAACTGTTTGTCCTACAAATACGAAACACCTTCCAGATGCTTCAGGTAAAGGCCAGGCATCCACGATAAGTATTCCTCTTGTTAATTTGGAACACAGTAAGATCCCAAATGAACTTGCTAAACTTGGTCTTACTTGTGGAAATAATGTAACTAGTCAATCAAAATCTCCTCTTCCTCACGTCAGCAATGTGGACATTGAAATAGCAAATAAGGATACCACAGGTAAACCAATCCAACTAGTATCTACCTTCGTCCAAAGCAAACAAGTTGATCTGGTTATGTCTAATGACACTGCTATCATTAATCGTCAATCGTCTCTGCCTTTCGTGGATACCACAACGGAGCAGCTAAAAACCGTCACCCAGAGCACTTGCGTATCAAACTCTGATATTCTTTGCAAGACTGCTCCACGTAGCTTAACTATGCCTGTAAACGAGTTTATAACAAATAGTCAAGCAGCTACTAGTGTCACGAGTTCCGTAGTTGCTACAACACTAAACTGTCAAGTAAAAACTACACTAAAACAGGCGCTTACCACTCATAGTTTTCGACCACAAGCAAGTGTTGCTGCCAAAAATCAGATCTCAACTGGTGTCACTGCATTAAACGTCCCAGCAGATAGCACCAGCGGTGTTGCCAATTCAATGAACAGCCTTTCACCAACTATTGAAAGCAAAGAAGCTGCTCTGAAAACAGAATACCCAGTCCCTAACTCCTTGTACACCCTGAACACGTTGACTGTTCCCGTTGCAAGAGCTGCTGGTGAATCTAAAGCAAAAAATGTTTACGTTGCACCAATTAAAGACAATGGCAACGTTGTATCTAGACCCCTTGCTCCAAAACCAACACCACCCCAATTTATTTCTCATAGACCTATCGCTCCTAAACCCACCCCCATTCATCACTCACCACCTGCAACAGTAATGTTCAAACCCACAGCACATTTGAACAACATCACAGTACCCTTATTGTCTAAAACTGTTTCATCAGTAAGTGCATCATCTGAGCATCATACTTCAGCAAAGTCTAAATCACCTCAAAGCATTTCGACCAAACCTAATACGGCCAAATCTACACCGTCCCAAGGCACCGCAACTAATTCCACATCATCAGAACAAAAAATAAACATTTTACCTAAACCTATTATGTCCGTTCCAACTTCATCCTCACCGGCATTTTCTGAAAATATTAAGAACGGGAAAATACTTGTATACGACGTAGTCAAATCTAACATAGCTCAAAGCGGAGGAAACCCTCCAATCGTTAGTCAGGATGGAGCAAAATTAGTGGTGTACGTGTCAAATACAGGAGAGAAACGAAATTTAGGCATTATTAAGGATCAGAAAATTTACCTCAATTCAAACCAGGTTGCAGCTGTGGCGAATCGACCGAAGGTTCAATCTCCCGTGACGACGTCTCCTGCCGAGTTCATTCCGAACGCAAATGATGCTGAGTTTAACGTACTTTTAGGATTGGAGCATGTTGTAAAGCTACTTTTGTAAGGGTTGGCGGTGTTTTTGAACTATTGAGGCTACATATTATATAACCTCAATAATTTCATTACCATATATATAGCAAATGTTTTTCGTCATAAGCTTCTTAAGTTCCGACAATTAAGTTTCAAATGGTGGTTTTTTGGCTAAGGTTGTTTAGACAATAACCTCCTAGTTCAGAAATGGGGCTTCTTATGAACCATATAGGTAACATAATTATTACAATACAAGATGATTAAGACATTATGACCATTTCAGGTGCCGAAACAATTCATTTTGAAGTGTTGATGTTTCTTTTGGATTCTATAACGAGTTATGTCTTGTTACTAGTTTTAGCAGCAATTAAGTTTGACTATGTGATTGAAATCAGCGTCGCATTTTAGTAAGCCGTTACCCCCGAACGTACACGGGTTTAGTTCGGTGGCGTTTGGACTAAACGTTTGCAATAACGGTGTATATATATATATATTCAATGTATAATGTATTGTAATATTTGTAAATACGTCTGCATGGGTCATAATCACGCTTGAATTCAAACTGAGTGCTGCTTCCTGTTCAATTGCTACCAAGGCGATTGCATTTTATATATTAATGTAAAATATTTTGTAGGTGTTTATCGCCTGTATTCAGAAAGCTTTAAAAAAAGAAAGATTTAGGGTAAAGCACTGAAAATATATAAAGTTATATTCGAGTGGAAATGCAGTCATGAAATCGCTTATGAGTGGATTCCACTCGATGAGTTTGAATGTGACTACAGGCGTGCGTCGCACTTGTTCAATTAAGTCGTAGTGCGAATATACCTGCTGGCTAAAATACAGTAAAAGGAGTATACAGTAGATAAACTCTATTGCGTAGGAACATTTTGAATTCCCCCCCACATACACATTAGTGACATTACGCATCATTGTAGGCTAATATTCGGGCCGGTCGAAGAGTTGTCTGCTTTCACTCTGAGAAGTCAAAGCAGAGGGTTTACTGTATATTCCTTGTATATTGTGAAAAAAGCCTGGGTGGTTATACACAAAAGAGAATTAATGATATTATATTTATACAGAACTATATTGTTATACACATATTTTCCGTTTAAAGGATTATATGACTGTTATATATCTGTTGCATAGATCGCACATGATCTTGCGTGATGAATTTAATATAAAGATATATGTTTGAAAAGATATGGGGAATTGTTATATGTTTTATTTATGAAATAAAAACGTAAATCTAATGAGCGTGTCCTTAATCGTGTCTACAAATTTTGAACAGATTGCAGTTGTGTGTATGTTATCACATGAGGAGAGTTGTTCCACACTTTTTCAAAAAACTTGACAGATAAACACACACCTTGCCTATTAGAGTTTTATTCCCCTTTCCTAATGCAATATGGGTGAAAACCTCTAAGAGCATTTTCATGATGCTGGGAAGAGAACGTATAAGCTATGTATGTATGTGCACACCTGTTTCAGAAGTACACACCATTTTCGTGTTTCCGTTTAGCGAGCTGGAAAACTCTTTGAAATGTCCACAACGATGTAGTTCCTTTTAAATGGCAATACTTTACTTTAGTTATATTATGGACATATATAATATGATCTATTTACATTTTTCAAGAAATATATGTATACGTATATATTATATAATGTTAGTCTATTTTGTTTTCTTTGCATCAACATGCATCCTTTATAAAAGCTGAAAATTTTACGCTGTCAATGGGGCCACTCTCTTTTCTGTTTGTGGTAGTTGTTGTTTCTCTCTTACTTGAAGTACCATTGCAGGGGGCATATTAGGCCAGTTGGTGTCATCAGGCTACAATGTAGGACGAGTTATATACTTTAGTATAAAATTATTGTAATCATAACGAGTACTAATAATCCCTAATTGTACGAGCAACATCGCATGATTTAGTATCGCGCGATCTATTAGGAAATAATCGTCAATACACTGTCCTGGGAGACTTTCATGTACTTCTGCCACTATTTTCGTTTAACTTTCTGGCCTTTATTAGTTCTTCTTAATCTTAGTTTATTTTGTTTTAATTGTATTAAATTAATAATTGTACTGCAGTAAAATTAACGAAATAACTGTATACTCATCGCGATTAATCTGCATCTAGTGATTTTATTAGCTAAATCGACATATTATATAGTCAATAAAACCAAAGAATCAGGAAGGAAGAACTAAATCGTCGGGCTGGCTAAACGTCTATCGGAGTAGCTATACCAAAATATATCCATCTTGGGGAAAAAATCTCGGAATATTTGGAAGCAACTAGTTGACATAGTTATACAAAGTTAATATGCTTTTCATTTATTACAATAAATATCCAAATAAGTATGTTTTATATACCAGCAACTGGCCAGCGAATTCTCCTAAATCGTCAACCTCAGCAGTTTTACATTCATGCGATTTGCCACATCCAAACGTCGCCGTGGTGATCTCTGCAATAAAAAGTATAGTGGAAATTATTCCTTGCTTTCTCTACTTATAATTTTATAGAAATTGACTTTTGCTATGTAGACTTTTACCTATGGTGCAATAAATATTTGAGGTAACCAATTTTAAATGAGACACAACAATGTTTCCTATAATAATGCCACATGACATACAAACCAAGAACAAAAATTATGATAGACTGACTAGTCACTACTCGCTGTCCATCGACGAATACTATTACTAGTATTATAAATAGGTAAAGGCTATAGCCATTAAACTTCTTACATAGGATTCTATATGATAATACCTGTATAAATACCTAAAGAGGAAACTAAAGGCCCGTTTACACTATTTGTCGCATACGATTTGTACCCTGGCGTATATGAACGTACGATGAACACACGTACAAATGTGACACTTTAAATTCTAATCTGAACAAAATTGAATGAAGATTGTGGCATTACTGGTATAGGCACTCTTGCATTCTTCAAAATGATAATTGCATAAAACTTATCGTGAAGTTTAAATAGGCCTTCATAAGTATACTGATCATAAGTGAGAGATCTTTCTATAAGTGTAACAAGCAAAGCTGTATAATACTATAATTATATATAATAGCATGGTTTCGAGTGCAATTTGGATACAACATGCACGAGTGAGTTTTTCAAATACCGAAGCACGAATGCTATTTGAGGTCTTTGAAAAAATTACGAGTGCATGTTATGTCCAAATTTCACGAGAAACCATGCTATTACTTATACTAATAATATATATAATAATTTGATTGGTTCACAGTGATTACAGCTTTTTGCACTGTGATTCAGTGGCGAGACTAGAACGATAATTGGGGGGGGTGTGTGAATATTCATATATCTAGTTCTGCCCTACGAATTTCTTTTGTAAGTGCAATGCCTTAAGTAAGAATCCGCCAGGCAGAACTGAATATATGAATGCTCACACCCCCCCCCCCCCCCTTCCAACTATCGCTCTAGTTACGCCCCTGCTGTGATTACTGATTTTTGCACTGTTGTTTAGGATTAGCTGCGCTGAAATCAACCAATCACAGTCAATTAATACTTTTATATATATTATTATCGAGTAATATAGCCTTTGCATGTTTTATGAATATGAGCTACGTAATGTCTGTCTCAACAGCCTATCCCGAATAGCCAGTTTTAGCAGCGAACAACGGTAGTGTAGTCATAAGTATAATGTATTGATAAATTAATTCATAAAATTTGGAAAATATTATGACCAGGTTTGCACCTTTACATTACAAATCGTTAGCTGATTCGTGGCCAGATATTCGATAAAGTTAGCGGTTTTGATTTTATTATGCAGGCGCCGCGAGAATGACGTAATCCTACGAATTCAATATTACTGCAAAATTTGGGTTAAGAAAAATGTAACTTGCGAAGATATCACTCATATCAAATCACAAGAATAACAAGAAATACAATGTTAACCTTTATACTTGCTAAGCCTAGCGGTGTAGCCAGCCGGATGATCTAATTTTGACAATTAATGCAAATTGGAAGTTATCATATAATTATTCATTTCTTTAGAAATTGATTGTTTTGCAGTGAAAGTACACCAAAGTATTAGCATAACCAGAAATAGGTCTTCTGACTGACTGCGAGAAAAATACGTTTCTCTAATTGAATTTGGAACCAGTTTAAATTACAGATCATGTGTTCTGAAACGGTTGTAATATGACGATATTATATAAGGACCTAAACTTGTCATGCAGCTGGCAAAATGTTAATACATATGGCAGATATCAGTGTTTGTTGGTTTGTTGTCGCGTCCAGTTTCAATAACATTTAGAATCGGTTTGTCTATTCAAAATACGCCTTATTTCACCACCTTGTTATTGTATGACGACTGTTCTGTAAAATGAAACTTGTAAAAAGCGTACAAATCGAATTTGATGAGAGAATATCAAAGACGGATCCCGGATATAGCCAGGTAAGTCAGTGAAATATTTTCAGGTTTAAGTTACCTAATTTAGTTTAACATTCAGGTTGTTGTTCTACATGTAAATGTACAATACCGCATAAAAATTATTATGACCGTCACAGCTGGTCAGGTATTTCGCTTGATATTGGCAATCAAAATGCCCGTTCGGCATTTTTGTGATCAGTGATTTACAGTTGATTTCAGAAAACTTTTGACCCTCCAGTTGCGAACTATGTCTGGAAGCTGTCAAGTGGGCGGGGAAGTTGTCACTTCCGCTTTGTAATTCGCAACGAAGTTCAAATCGAGCTTCGGAATTTCAAATCGAACTTTGCGGGCAATTTGGCTAAATCACTATAAAAAGGCCACTATAAAATACAAGGGCAGAGCAATTACAATAATATTTCTTTGCCGCATTGAAGTTTCTTCGAAATTAGCCATTCGGAATGTTCATAACATTCTGGTTCACAAAATCTCGAAATTTCAGTACCTAGCTATATTATATATGGCACTATATATACAACTTTTATGTGCAGTACAAGTCGTGTTCTACATTGTATTATATAGCATAAACCTTTTCAATCCAATGAAATAAGTTATCTTTCAAAAATACTAGTTATCAATCATTACCTTTAGCCTGACTGACATTGCATACTTGGGAGTAAAGAGTAGACAAACCATAATACGGTAAATGAACTTGAATACAGCAACGGTATGTTTTCAAATCTTGGTTTCTAGAATCTTTGAGAACCTTTAAAGAAATAGAAAATGTTCAGCATTTTATCAAATGAAAATTATAAGGGGTATAGCAATAGATCTGAACAAAGTTAATTAGGCATTTTAAATTTGCATATGACTTTGGCAAAATGTAACTTATATTACGTAATTTTTAAATAATTTAGAATAGGCTATTAATTTAGCTTAAATAAAAATTGGGTCTTGGTTTATCATTTTATCTTACTTGGTTCTATAGTGGTATTATAACTGAGAAAACAAATTAACTTGTCTTTGGTACATTTGGTTGTTAGCCATTTTTTGGTAAATTCTTATCGTTATGACGACGTTATTACTCATCCAAATTATCGAGTAACTAATTAACAATTAGTCGCCGAAGGCGAGGTGATTACAAGCCTATATTCACTGAGCCGAAGGCGAAGTGAATATAAGCTTGTAATCACCGAGCCTGAGGCGACTAATTGTTTTAGTATAATTTCAGTATTGAAAAAGTTTTATTTATAAATACAACTGATTTATGTTCTCAATTTCTGCTTCCGAAATTTTTCCAAAACGATTTTGAGTATTTTCAGCCATGTTTTTATGGGGAAAAGCAATAGTTACTGCTCAGACTGTTCTGAGCAGTAACTATTGCCTCATAGTTACTGCTAAGGGAGCCAATCAGAATGCTCAAAGGTCATTTTTCAATACTGAAATTATACTAAATGTTGTTAAAAATCGCTGACTATATGAACATAATAACTTTAATTCACGTTCTTCATAATCCAAACTGAACTCATAACCAAGATATTACAAATGGGTAACAGGTCTTTGACATGATTCTATGCGTTCTTTAAAATGACAACAATGATTTTAAAATCGAGTGATATGATTACCTCGAGCACCTGCCTCTCCCTAGCCATAGGAAGTTGTTTGCATTTCAGTATGTATAAAAGTTGCACATATCTGTCCGATTTCGTCCATTCGATGAGTAGCTCATTCACTTTACTGTACACATTGAAAGTGGGTACTGGGTTTGGGATGATATCTGAATATTTTTGTAGAGAAAAGTAAAATCAGCAAATTTTTAAATGCAGATTGGGCTGCTTAGCCTAACCAATTTTTACTGTGGCTAGGCTAACACAGTGTATTCATCAGAACCCTCCTCTGTGGCCAGTCCAGTAGCAGATCTGGCTTAAGTCAAAAAATCTTACTGCAGCAAAGTTTTAAAATCAAAGTGCCTAAATTCAGAACATCGCAATAAAATGTGGAAATACTGACCGCTTGTAGAGAGCAAAAATATTATTCTCGTCTTACCGCAGGGGTATATATTATATATATATATATATTATATATATATATATATATAATTATATATTATATTTTTATATATATATTATATGTATATATATATATATATATATATTATATATATATATATATATATATATATATATATATATATATATATATATATATATATATATATATATATATATATATATATATATATATACACCCATTTGCAAAAACGTTGGCCGCAGATAGATAGATAGATAGATACTCGAAGTCTAATTAGAATTGCATATGATTAAATTGGCATGGGATTTCTATAATATTACACAACATATGCAATTCTAATTAGATCTCGAGTATCTATCTATATATCTATCTGCGGCCAACGTTTTTGCAAATGGGTGTATATATATATATATATATATATTATATATATATACGCAATATATATATTATATATATATATATATATATATATATATATATATACGCAATAGCTTACAGTAGAAATCTGTCGAGAAGAACTGAGTATATGAGTATATGAATATTCATACCCCCGCCCAATTATCCTTCCAGTTACGACATGTTCAATATTACACGATACACAAATACGGCAAAATTTGTACCCTTCCTTTAGCAGGGTAGTTTATCATTGTAATTTCAAATAGTTATATTTGTTCTATAATTAGATGCGAACTAAGGAGTTGCTATGCAGATGGTAGATTTTGAAAATTTTCTCAAAAGTACTCAAATTACGTAAGCCATGAATTGTCATTATTAAATTATATTTTTAGTTTTTAATTTTCTCAGTTTGCACAGGGTTCAGCAAAACACAGACCATGTCTCTTCGTCAAACAATTGTACCACATGTATATGATGGCAACAATTTATCCTTTATTTCAAAAAATTAGCCAAAATACTTGTGTAGTAAATAATGTAAATATAAACCGCAGTGCGTATTATGAGTCTATATGACGTGGATGCTTCGACGCCGACGTAAATCGATACAAAGCAATATACTGGTAATCAATACTGCACACCGCCAAAATTATTTCATTACTACACCAAATGGACCAAATATATATATAGATTATACATAAACAACACAGCGTCCTTTCATCCTATAAGTAATGAATATATATACTGTCCAAATAATCTTTGTGTTAATTGAATGCTCGTAAATACATAACACTGAACCACTCTTACCATAACACTATTAATGATCATGGAGTTGCGAATACATACTTTTTAGGCTTGGCGTAATTTTGAAATTTTCCCCGATTAGTTCACACCCACGTATTTCAGCACTTAGATGTACCGTATATTCATAGTATTCGAACACTTTCATGTCACATTGACGGCGTATGTTTGCGTCGACGGAGCCGCCTGCGTAGGAACATGAGGTCATCGCTTGAAAATGGGGACAGGTATCTCGAGAACCAAAATTAGGGTGAGAACGTATTTTAGTGTAGCATATGTATGCTGTATAATTGTATCCACTGGTGTCGTTTTCCTGCCAAGTCACCACCAACCGTCTGCTTAACATGTACTTCAATTCAGGCTTAGGAACTATACAGATATAAATTTACAAATAAGTATAGATGCCCATTATCTCAAAGAGGGGACGAATTTAGGTTGGATATGTTCGTACTTCGTATGGTTTAAATGCATTTAGTTTTCAAAGGGTTGAAAGAGTTGTTTATATTGTTCACCAGGGATAAAAACAGATGGGTTTTTTAAATAGCGGCGGAAACAGTCAAGACTGCCGCGGCTTAGCAACAAGACAGAATTATTTTTTTTAATTGGAGAGCTTTAGAGTCTTTGTCTTTAAATAAATCTTTCAAGTCTTTAAAATTGCTTTTTCACAGTCTTATCTCCTCTTCGCATCTACCGATCTTTGCTTTCAAATCTTCGAATACCGAACTTAACTTTTTACATAATTATATAGCTAATTGAGTAATACAATTTATATATAATCTGTTATATAAACAAGAGTGTTGTAAATAATATATTCTATACTATGCAAAATACTTGGGCACGCGGTTAGGCGTGAAATATTTCACTTTTAGGATATTTTTCATGTTCCCAAATAGTAGGTCGATATTGATTTTCTTAACTGCTTTGACTTATCGTACTCCCAATATAATATGCTAGCTTGGTGCACGCATAATGCAAGGTTGAAGTTTTCAGTTTAATGTTTACAATGGAAGTCAGGCTTTATTGAATTCCCTGTATGTGCCTATATAATTATATTATATCGCTATATATATGAAAAAAAATAAAAATAAACCTACCACCCATGTATGATTGCATGCCACCAACATAATCCTCTCAACCACTTTTACGATTTTATTATTAATATAATGCTATTGCAAACTTTAATCGGGTTCCATTGGTATCTGTATAGATCCCCCGTGGGAATTTGCCAATAATAAATAAAAAATCTAAATTGGATCGTGTTCGCATACTTGCTTTGTGTTCGCATAATCGCGGGTCCAAACACGCCAAAAACTGTTTATAGTCCATAGAAATTCCGTTACATGTTGTGTATTTATACTAAAATGGTTATATAGTAAATGTTATGAATTATTACAGCGGCTTCCGCGCATCGGTTCTGCTTTGGAGGACTCCCGCACGATATAGAAATTTGCCCAAATTTCGTAAGTTTATGTTTAAATCTCTTATAAATTTAGAAATACAGTTCACTAAAACGGTAATAAATATTCTGACAGCACAGGATATTTTAAGAGATAAAGCGATGCAATATCTAATATGTAAACACAGCGTTATTTTACTGTAGTCTACCTTTAAAAAAAGGTAGAACAATTGAAATAAGCGAACGAATTGTAGCTGTTATTATGAAGATCAACTCGATTCACATGTGCACAATTCAATTGCATAAACAAAGTTGACGCATGTTCAATAATTATACGTACGCACGTCATCGCTGTTTATACTAATGAGTTTGTATAATCACTTATTTACATCAATACGTCAATATTTTTTTAAATAGACTAGATGAAATTCACAAATTTGAAATATTTTAGCTACGTTCAAAGTCATGCTTTTCTGTTGGAAAATCGCATGAAAATAGAAAATTATGTAATTGTTCGTAACGCTTTAACACGAGTCTAGGTTGAAGTGTTGTTTGCTGGGGACTTGCGGTTAAGACAAGGAGATTTAATTTAATTCAAGCCCTACGACGTCCTGTGCGGTAAGTCACATCTAGCATTTAGCATAATCCAGTTATCAGAATACTCTATTTGTCACGCGAATCCAATTATTCACCCTTGAAAAAATATTTCTCGAGTACCTTAGGATGTACTAGACGGGGCTGTTGAGATTTACGTTTACCAATGAAAATCGCATTTCCGATATGGTCCCCGGTCTGAGTAATCTGGCTTTATTTTTAGCCGTCGTTAACCGTATATATACTAATATAGTTATCGGACCGTGATGTTAGATTGCCTTACACACGTACTATTCTATATGAACCGGTATAAACATGAAAATGATGAAATTGAAAAATGTATAATAGCCGGAATGGAATTTTATTCCATGCATACTCTACTGTCAACATAACCAGTAGTCCGTAATTAAATTAATAGTTTAATAATATTGAAAAATCTCATTTTGCGGCTTAACGAAAGCACCCGTCCAGTGTTTATAACTAAATCAAGCTTTGTTCCTCGACGCCTTGTTTCATGCACCGGTTTGATGAACGGATTCAAACGTTTATTACCCTATAAATACAGCTAATTCCATAAAGATTGTTCCTTCAAAACTATAAACCTTGAAAGGGATGACCCTATTCAAGTAAAAAAATGATACCTTCAAAGCAACTGATATATTTGATAATTTGAATGTTCTGTAAATAGAAAACTGCAATTGTATTGCGTTTTCACTTTATTATCGAAAAGTATTGTAGTCGCTTTTTTACTGAAGAGAATCACCGCACTTTAACTTGGATGTTTGATATGTAAACAGGGCTGGCCTGAGAGAATTACGATATATACTTTTGATCAGGCCACTCGAAAGAGGTGTTTTGAATGAAGGGAAACCTAATGCGTTTTATTTTATTCCAATTTAAAATGTCCCACGCATTAAATCGTATAAGTGGATAAAATTAACCACTTCCGCGGTTTAGTCAACAAACGACCCTCAAAGACGAATATAACTGTTCAATGGCTGTAGAGTAATTGCATTCCCTGTGATAATTTAATACCATTTAATCTTTTCTGTAAACAGCTTGCTTACGTATTACTACGTCAATATGGAAAGCCGATTACAGTATAGTTACTCACATTTACCTTTTAAACCAGTGCAGTTTTCTTCGGATGATAAGCAGGAGACTTTAGCATGGTAAGTGGCTGCCACAATTAGGATTTCCATCAAAAGATACACAACTCGGTGCATGATTCTGAATTGATCAATCAACCTGTTCAATAAAACGGCATAAGTCTCATTATATATATAAAAGAGATGAAATAACAATTTACATTACATAAACATGCAGTTACAAAATTTAGCAGTATATCTGGAATGGATTCAACCGACTAGTAACTATATAAGCATATTAAGTCTAGCTTGCACTAAATTTTTGGCATTCCAGCCGTTATCAAAGATACGCGGTACAATTAGTGAGTTACGTTCGTAAACACAACTGACAAACAGTATATTTGACTCGTTGTTAGTACAAGTCGGATACAGTTTACGAAAAGAATCGGAAAGGAATAATTGATAATATCACGGCAATTAGACTTATAGGAGATGCCGTGTATGGATGTTTACTTCGAGGTTTACTTTGCATCATTTCGTAATTTCCGTTTCGGACTGTTGTGAATGCATGGCACACTAAACATATTTGCTAACTTTATCTAACAAGAAATAAAATATACATATAGCGCGTCTATATATACATTTGTTTTTTCGAAGCTTGGCAATCAACGAAACGTGAAACCATTCGCAGAATTATAAAGTCAGGCGATTGTAAAGGTCAAAGTTGATGCATTTTTCAAGTTGCAATATATTTAAATCAAATTCATTTAGCTGCGTTAAATAGACCTCACAATAAACACGGTGCAACCTCATGCAGTTTTTGATCGAATTTTCAGTAAAACGTGATAACAAAAACACACTAAAGAATGCAATTTCTTAATAATACGAAGTATGTTTATGAAATTCTAAGTATGTCTAAAAATGGCTTTTCTGAAATTCGACATTTTGTCGCAAAAGTGAATTTAAAAATCGTGTAGGCCCGTGTACGCGCATTCCAGCGGGAACGTCAACACACAGCAGCTATAATCAAATTTTTCGATGTATTGTATAGAATTGTTATATCTTACTATGTATGAATGGTTAATAACAGATAACTTACTTCACTGAATATTGGATGCAATCCTTGACAAAGTACAATTCAATGTTTGAATTTTGTTGATGTTTCAGAAGACGTACAGCAGAATTCTTTTTTCTAATTTCTATTTTATTCTGTATTCGGGGCCTCTGTTATCACAAGGTTCACCAATGCCAACTGAACGCGACTGAGAAAATTGTTGTGTAGACGGGTTTTAAATAGTTTCCAGTATAACGTATACGTAAACAAAAACAATCACAACGGGGGGCATGCATGTATTCTGGGAACAGTTGATATATCCCCTCCTAATCAAGTTCGTCCAATCGCGCAGCGTCTTTAAAAAATTCTAAGACAAGCAGCCAGTCATAGACGGCCCACAATGGGATAAAGGATCTTTGAGAGATCGGGTTTCTTGATTAATAATGCTTCGTCTCTATCGCAAAAATAACAGATATTCAGCGAAAAAAAAACAAAAAAGGACAAGCAGTTAGGCTATTTAGTCAATTAGAGTATAAAAGCGCTTTGAAACTCTGCGACTTCCTTATTAAGGTTTATATGTATAAGATCCAATTATTTTGTTAAGATGAAAATAACTCGAATCAAAGACGTACTGAGTGACCACGATTACGCATGAAAAATTTCTAGCTGGCCGTTGTTTGTTTTTAAACGCTTCAAACAATTTTATGTCATTTTAGTGAAATAAGGAGAAACTCGATACAAATGCCCGCGAGCTGCTTGTTGTCTCGCAATACGTGGGAGGCATTTCCGTCGATGTAAATCGAAGAATTATATTTGCGCAAGAGGAAACGCATGCAGTGTGTCGTTTCATTGTGGTTTCCGTGTTATGAATGAATAACAAGGTCAACAGAATTCCGAATTGGACGCCAAAAATCTCGGTTTTGCCAAAAATCCCCGTTCATTAATTTCAGCTTTGTTTTGAACTGGGAAAATATACGGTCCAGCTTTAATTTGAGTGAGAAAAGAATTCTCTTATATTTATCTGTGGAGGATAAAATCATTAATGGGAAATTAAATGCTAAATACATCCTATATATAAGTATAAGCCGACGAGCACTAAACTAGCTTTAACCACTACTCAGACGCCCACATGTAAACATGATACAATTTCATTTTTTGTGTATACGATAATCAACTGGCTGCTTGAAAAGTTTTTCATAAACAAGCTCACTATCATAAGGCCAGGCTATAGAGTATGAATTTTTTGTGAATTTCTGCATGAATAAAGATATTTAGCCATTGCCAACTTATTGTGACATATATCATTACTGGCTACTTGAAAACAGATGTAGACCGTTCCAACACCGCAATTATATCAGCCCCATCACCATCGTGTAGTGATTAATGATTACTATCGGGCATCTGGAGGAAGAGGAGAAAGTTTTAAAGGAATAAGAAAGTTTTATCATGTACGTGCTATCAAGTTTAAATCAAATTTTTCTCATACGTAGAGTTCTGCTGTGGTTTGAATAAACAATAATGTACTAGAATTATACAACAATAATAGACTATTTATTGATGTAACATACAGGCTGTCCAAAATAAACACTGAACAATAGCGGAGAACAATTCGTTGTTAGAATTCCAATGCCCCGATCTGATCTAAATGACGAACTGCGCAAAAAAATAACCCAATTATTGCATTTTTATCTCAAGGTTTGATTCCACGCATGCATCGTATTTACGCAACCGCGTGGGATTTCTTCTGATGCACTTGTAGGCTTAGCAGTGTGTTGAGACATCCAAATGCTAACAATACGGAAATACTCGTTATTTTTGATACACCCAACAAGAATGCCAAATATCAGCTAGGGGAGTTTCGATATTATTTATTATATGCCCATATATTTCCTAGTGTAGAGATCAATTAGCAGAAGCGCAAAGAGAGTGTAATGTTTACCAAAACAATTTATACAAAGAATGCGGTCATACACAACTAATACCTCTCAAGGTCGCTGACTGATCACGATGGCAAGCTTGTTTGCGTTGTTCTAAAATTTAACTTATGTAGTTCAACACGCATATATATTGGGGTTCCTACAAGCTACACTGTATTGAAACGAGGCTAACGATTGTACCAAAAGGAAGTTTCGAACTTAACGTTTTGAGCCTGTCATGATATTCGCCATCTGCGAGTGTACTAAGATATATATAACATAGTTTTCTGAAACATATACCTTCGTGTTTTTTCCGCATTCTAATTAGTTAAAACGTATTCTCAATATTGATTCCAAATCAAATCCTATAGCTGCCAGATATTATAGGAAATTTTGGCCATAACCCAAATTACATACTTTAGTGATAAGAGATATCAAACATGCAGCTAATTCGATTCTAATTTCGATACTATACAATTTTTATCACAGTGATATAATTTGAAAAATTGCTGTTGCGCATCCTCGCGCCAATGAGACCTTAAAACAACGTGAGCCTGAAAATGATATACATGAAAACACCTCATACTTGCAATTAACCCTTAATCCTCAATAGTCAATACATGCAGTCATATCAATCCACGCCAGTAATTAAATATCACAGAAATACTTCCTTGCGAAGTATATTATGCAGTTCGGTAAATAAATAAACTATATAGGTAGTACAGTTACTATAGGAGTATAGAATTATGATTTTTTTTGCCACACACTCATCAGTAGCTCGCTTTGTGGACGGAAGGACTAGGTAGAAAAGGTACTATAACACTTCAACTAGGGAAAAATATCAAGCGGCAAGATTTTTAATCACCCACCATTTAGGCGATTGGGGCAGGGGAGTGAGTATACTCACAAAGCGCCCCTGAATTTTTTTGTTGAAACGGCTTTTCGTTAAGAACCTTACGCTTGAGATCATCGTCCCACCCTGACGGCGCTACTGCATCGCTTTCAAAATGATGTCAGTTGAAATTTTCGCAAAAGCTATAGACAAGCCGCGGAAAAAGGATACGTGGTGGGATATAGGATTAACTTTTTTAAGGCTTTCTCGGTAAGGCCTTTCGCCAGAGCCGCATGAATCAATTTTTCTTTCACCAGCGCAAAAACCCCGACGTCAAAAAATCAATCATGCGTCTCTTTAGAAATTTCTAGTTTCGGGCATGCAAGCATCAACCTCTCTACTTGCTGATCTATATAAAATACCTATAACAGGCGTGAAAAACCACCGTCAACAGCATAATTTCATGGTCAATACACATCGATGTACTGACTGCATGACGCAATTTTTTCTCACTTCGATATTTGTGCGAAAACCATTCGGCATCAACGGCTCACTTAATCACTGCAGCACAAAATTTACAGTGTTGTTAACATGATTGTTCTCAGCTACAGATTAGATCCTTGTACCCGTGGACTAGGTAAAAAATGAACGAAAATTGGATGAAAACTGCATGTAATAAAGATATTGATAGTGGGATTTCATCGTTCTGTCATTACCGTCTACATTCATTTGTCTGCCAGTGAAGAAGATCTTTAATTAGTTATTTTTTTAAAATGAGTTTGGCTGATAATCGGGGTTCTAGAATTAGAATTAGGGGTCACGAAAACCTCTCGTGAACGAAATTTTTAAGATAATATTTCATTTCAAGATAATATTTGTAGTTTTCTAGGTTTGACAAACGGTATGCCGGGAATATATACTCAAAATCATATACTCGAGCCATTTTTCTATACTGTTTTATTTAGTCTGAGATAATTACACTTGTATTTTAGAAAGTTCACTCGCACTCAAACTTATTTAGTGAGAGATCTCAAAGTTCTCTACGTTTCTTCAATGTTTCCACGACGATATTTCCTCTGAAAATAATAGCTTGATTTTCAGCGTGTCACCTTAAATATTTCCAGTGATTAAAAAATAACTTTCTAATTGACTCAACAAAATATCTATGTCACACTTATGCAATGAGTATGAGTGAGCTTGTTGTACTGGCGCTAATATGAATTAAATTGCAAATATATAGCTGGTTAAATTTCGAAATAATTTACAGTTGAAGTGAGAATGAATCCACGAGTCTCTGGGTCCAGTCCTTATTTTTGAACAATGCTAAATTGTTATTAGAATTATGAAATTTTTTAATTTCCGTTTTACACTTATCAGATTCAGATCATTGTACGGGAAATTTGGCAAGAAAATAGTCTCGGATTTTTGCCATAGGCACATGTTTTATTTCATTATTTATTTTAACGAAGCTTTTACTACTAGAATATGATTTTCTTAGGGACCATGTTAGAACTACCGATCCCTGCCAATTGACAAAGATACCGATGCTTTACATGCTGTATCATCAGCGGGGTTTCACGTATTTAATGGTTTGGTGGTGGAAACAGGCCAGTTTTAATTAAACAGTGAAGTGGATAATGCTGATGTGAAAAGCAATATTATAAAAAAAACACGAGAACAGTGACATAAACAGCTGTTTAAAATCAAGCCGATGTTGCATGGCTTGCCGGAATTAATATATCTCTATAACAAAACGTCCGTATACTACTACAATTGGCTACCTGAGACGGATTCTGACATGTTGATCTATAGTTGCAGACCATGCTTTTTAAATTATGATTATTTATAAATCATGGACCCCCCAGAAAGGGTTTGTTTTTCTGCATGGGTATCCCTGAATTCATTGGCCTGCATTTTGGTTCGAATCCATATCAGCAGAAAGAGGTTTGAGAGATCATCATTTTCTTTTAAACATGATCATTTTGCTAATATTAGAACACTCAAAGGGACTTTCAAAGGAATGGGCAAAAGCCGTCTCTGGGGCCAGAAGCAGGGTCTGCCCTCCAAGTTATACAGTTAAAAAGGTCCTGCTGCCGACACCATAGTATCGATACTATCGAGGTTTGGAGACAAATATCTATACTTACTTACATTAAGCAAATTCAAACACGCCTTTTACAAGATAAAAAATCATTTACAAAATTAATAGCAGCTAATACGATACTTATGGCTCGCATTGCCGGTAATAACAATATTAATTTTAATCAAGAAACTTACGTTCCTGCAAATTCTGGTTATTCCTTTGGGCAATACTTTGTAAAATGTGTTATTAAATTACTAGAAATACATGCATGCAGTAACCCCTCCTAATTTAATCCAAAGAACGAATTTCCTGAGATAGCGAAATCTAAGCTTATATTATGACATTTATATTCAAATATAGTC